GACCTGCTCGTCGACGCCGCCTTCGTTGCGCACAGGTCGGGGCGAGGCAGACGCACGGGGAGGTGGGTGGTCGCGTGCCCACTGTGCGCGAGTGCCTAGGAGTGCCCACTCCAAGGGGACCTCGCCAAACTCGCCAGCTGTATGGCGTTTCCTAACATCAGCCTCTCGAGCCTCCAAGGTATTCTCTACGCCCGCTTCAACTACGGGGTCGACCATGTCGACTAAGGCGGTTGCCGGCCTACCAACGCATTAGGTAATGAGCACCTAAGTCGGCTACTATGAAGGTATCTTTGCGGGGCAGTCCACGCTCACCGCACCATGCGGAGAGTCACTACACAACGGGAGTGGACTACAGAAGAAGGCACGGGGTTGTGCGAGTGATCGTAGTGTTCTACTAGCGTTCTCACTACTTGCTGTGTTCACAAAGAAACTTGCTGTGTTTCACGAGAAATTGAAAGGAAGATTGAGTACAATGAGGCATGCAAGTCAGTATAGCTAGAATGGCATTGCAACACCTAGCAAGCTCTCTGTAGGGTGAACTCTGCCAGCGCAGCAAAAGAGTGGCTTACCAACGTTGCAATAGAGTAGTTCTGCCAACGTTGCACCGCAGTGGTCTGCCAGCGACGCAGAGGCATGCGAACATCTGCGCATGTGCGCATCTACCAAGTAGGTGCGGATAGACGGTCGCGTCGCCAGGCACATTGCGCAGGTGCCAGGTAGAACAAGTGTCGACGGTTTCGCCAGCCGTGCACCGTCGAGCACGTGATGCCGTTCCGCAGGTTGACTTGGCGAAAAACCTCCTGAGGAGAAGTTCGCGCAAATCTGCGACCTTCGCAGTCGAGCAGCTTCGGTCGGCTGGTTCGCGCAAAGCTCGTCGATCGACTCATCGCGCAGAGCCTCTCGACGGACTCGCGCAGACCCTCTCGACGGACTCGTCGCACAGAGCCTCTCGTCGGACTCGTCGATGACCGCTGTCGTCGACCAGCGACTCCCGCAGAAGGTGTCGACCGAATCTCGTCGAGCAGGAGCTGCTCGACCATCACCTCCGTTGACCAGCAGAAGCCTACTCAACGACCACTTCGTCGAGTGACTATGCATCGACGACGAGATCGGCTGCGCCCAAGCGAGGGCGGGGCCTTTCTCTTCGACACCTTTCAAGGGGTCCTGGAGAACGGGGCCCTTGTACGTTATTTAGGCTGGTCAAATAGACACTCAGACATTGCCCTGTTCGACAAACACGTGATTTTGTGAGGGCTTCGAGATCGGCTCGAGATTAGATACCATTCCAAAGCAACTTCCCCCAAGGTTGGTTATACCAATCCATTTGGGGAGTTCCATAACTTCTGGTGGAAGGCGAGGTCTGCGATGCGGAACTCGTGAAAGACCTTCCTCCATCATTTTTTTCCCCAACAACCCCTGTCCCATCCCTCGAACCTTTTGTGATAAGCATAAAACAACTTTTAAGGCTCGACAATAAAAGAAGTGTTGCGGGATCTGATCGCATTATTTTAATCGCCGAAAAACGTTTTGAATGTCGGGGGTTTTAACCGTACGTTCGTTCCATAAACCTGGATCTCCTGGCAAACTCGCGCATTAGTGATGCACGCACGGTTCAACGTCATGTTTTTTAACCATGCGGTGGATCCGTGGTGCGGGACAGTCTCACCACGCCCTCAGAAATACCTTCAAGGATTGAGCCTAAATTTTTACTGCTGCCAAACATCAACCGCTCACTAGCTCCGACACAACCTGCTTAAAAAACATTGTCACAACCACAGCTTCGTTAGGGCATGCCCGATCAGATTTGTACAGTGTTAGTGCGAGCGCTGTCTGACTTCCGCGAAGTTCATCGTTTTTCGGCTGTCACAACCAACCACAAAAGCGAGTTCGGTTAAAATGGTGCGCCTGGATCAACGCCAGCCGAACCGGGCCTATGTGATTAACATTTTTTTAGGGCAGCGTATCCGGTTGGGAGCTGGATTATGGCTTGCCTATAGCAAAAAACTCAGTTGGTGTCTGTTCCTGCTCGTTGTTCACACGTCGAGGGTGCTCCTGCCCTTGATAATTATGTCATAGAGGACACGCAGTTCGAGCTGGCTATCCTTGCGGTCGTTGCTCCTCATCTCTGTGCCATGCTGATATCCCCTGAAGGTGACCCAGGCGCTCTTGAGATCCCAACCCCTAGCACCCACGCTGAGATAGTGTCGGGACGCTGGGCCTCTCGGTGGGATAGCAGCCATCGACGCAGAGATGGCATTTTGGAGGTCGGCAAGCACCTACGTTGGTGCAATTTCCCCTCCTGGGGCGAACTTTGTCGATGACATGTGGATCTCCAAGGTGAATCGGCTTTAGAGTCGCGATGTCGTTTTCCCACGACGCGTTAGTGTGTCCCCTAAGTGAAACTGGCTGTCGTCCACCAATGTGAGCAGATCGAGACTTTACTTCGAATGTTGTGTACAACTACGAGACTTGATATAGGCACAATACACGGCAAATAACCAAGATGTTACTAGAATGTACCCACGCTCTAGAACCAGCGGGAATATCGACACCGATCAAATCATTTGGTGCAAAGTCATGTGCACACGCAAGGTCATGCGCGTTAAACTTATATGAATATAGAAACGGTGCTCACATAACCTAATCGGGACATGTAACTATAACAAGAAATAGTCACCCCATACGAATAGGAAAAGTAGCATAGGAAATAAAATAGAAATATAAAATGTGACGTAACGGACGACGTATTTTGACAAGCCAGCACAAGCCACATGCCTGATGTACTAGCCAGATAGTGCAAAAGCCTCTTAGCAGCCGACTTGTACTCATGTCGGTGTCTCCCAGTCGCAACAAAGCGAGCAAGAATGCTGAGAGGATATGCAAGGTATGGGCAAGTGCAGGTCATCATGTACATGAGACACCCCACCAGCTCTGTGTATTGACCACTGAGCTCAACATACTTGTTAGAGATAGGGGCCGAGAGCGTATGGCCAACAGGCAGAGGAGTGGGCTTAGCAGAGGAGAATTAAAGGTAGAAGCGCTGGAGGATCTGCTGCACCATGTGTGACTGAGTGATAGTGAGGGTGTGTGATGCTCTGTCCCTAGTGATCCGCAAGCCAAGATAGTGGTGCAGCTCTCCCAGGTTAGTGCAAGCGTGTCTTCTCAACAGCTCAGCCTTCACTGAGGCCAGTGCGATTCTGTATGGAGTAGCAAAGACCATGCCGTCGACGTAGACGAAGATGTAGAATGGATTGGAGTCAAAGCGAACAAAGATAGACTGGTCAGCTGAGGACGGGAAGAAGTGGAGGTCAGCAATAGTAGTGCGAAGTGTGTCGTGCCACTCACGAGAGGCCGGTCGTATACCATAGGCGGGGCCCCAAAGGCTCCACTGAGTCCCAGGAGGGAAGGACCCAGTGAGCCAAGTGGGCAGCAAAAAAATATATGCTCGTGCAGGCTGCCCTGAAGAAAGGCAATCGAGAAGTAAATAGAGTGAAGCTTGAAGTTGCGTTGTGCCGCGATGTGCAGCAGTACCTGAAGAGCGATCATCTTCGGGGTGGGGGATAAGGTCCGAAAGAAGTCCACCCCCTCTCGCTGGCTGGTCTTTAGCCACATAGCGCGCCTTGAAGACAGGCAGCTCGACGAGTGGCCATTTCACCATGAAGATCCACACTCTATTGACAACATTCGCCCCAGGATAGGGAACTGCGTCAACGTATGTGCCAGTGGGAATCCAAGATGCCATGTCTATGTCCATAGCCGCTATCCACTGAGAGGCCCAGGGTCGTGAGACTGCCTTAGCGTAATTGCGAGAGGTCGGGATGTCAAGAGCATCTGGACCTCCCTCATGGGCTAGTAGCATGGCACAGAGATGAGGAAGAGCGGCCGCAAAGAAAGACCGTTCGAACTTCATGTCCTCTAATACGTCACTGTTAAGAGCAGGAACACCCCCGATGGACGGAGGATGGGCAAGAGCAGAAATAGATGAAGGAGGAGCAGTAGGGTCAGTAACGAGGGAGGAAAGGATACGACGGCGAATAGCATGGAGGTTATCAGATAACAGAGGAGAGGAGACAGTAAGGGACGACGAAGGAGGCGATGAGCGAATAGAGGGTGGCAGAACACGAGGGGAAAGAGAACGGAGGAGCATAGAGTGGATACCGGAAACGAGAGACGCAGGGCGAGCACGAGAGGGACAACGCACTCAGGGGGAAGAGGCAAGAGACATGCCAGGAGGTGGAGAAATAGGTAGGCGGGACAGGAGCGAAAATCCTTACCTAGCTATATACCATGTGATTGAGAACGAATTGTTATAACAAGACATACATGGGGCTATATGCAAGCATGTATCCTATATAATGCACCTCAGCCTACAACAGTATACATACAAACATAAACGTGCACGTTGACATGACTGTTCGAGGCAGCCCTTCTCAGACTCTCATTTTGACACTGGCTCGGCCTTCTCATACTCTCATTTTGTATTATGGTGGATGGTTCAACCCTGCTCACATATCGTGAAATTGACTCTCGTCACTTCTTTTGCCTTCCTACGGCTACATGGTTGCATAACAACGCATATGGGTTCATCCGTATAAGTTGTTGCTTCCCTGAATCTTGCACGGGAGTGCGGTATTCCAGTACCGTATCACTTTCTGTGAAAAAGACAATACTTGTGAGTGGGAACCGCACATGGCCACTCACTCAGGCCACGAGTTGATGGCATACTTATGGGAGAACCATCCACCAGTAGTGTGTGTTTCAAAAGGGTAGAATTTTAGAGTCAGTTACAGTACGGTGAATTATTCCCTGGACAAGGCTGATAAATGAGCACCGGCGAGAAAATTAAGGCGGACGAGAGGCAGAACCAGCATAAAAAGACTGCATTCTGAGGCTCTCATGCATACCATGCAGGTTAGTTAATTCTAGCCCACCGAGGGTGATGCCCAACCACCATACATGCCAGGCCTGCAAAAGCACAGGAGGGTAAAGTTGGAAAAGATTTAACAAGGGTATACAGGCAGAGCAGGAACCTTTGCACACAAGTGCAAGATGTAAAGAGAACTGAGAGAACGCAACATCGCAAAAGAAAGAAAGAAAGCAAAAGAAGGAGAAACAATGCCAGCTTACAATGTTGACGCCCGAGAGATTGGGATGTCTGAGTGAATATTCCGTAGCCCAAACATCATATCCCCTCTACCAGTCACCTCCTCCTCCTCTTCATTATGCAGCTGTGAATTCGGATTGAGTGACATGGATCCCATCATCATCCCCCTCCCAGCCCTCCCAAAGCTCGACGACCGACTAGCTCCCGCCCCTCCGCTGCTATTGTTGCTGCTGCTCCTCCGACCGCTCCCTCCCCCCGTCAACGACCGCGCCAGAATCCCCTGCGACCGCCTCCCTCCCCCTCCACCTCCCCCTCCGCCACCACCGCCGACACTCGCACTCGCAAGCCCCACACCGGACCCCGACCGGGACGACCGAGACGACGACCGGTTGATCTCAATCCTCATCGTCTCCATCCCGGCTTCAAGCGCCGTCATTCGCGCATCCATTCGGTCCAACACATGCCGGACCCGGTCCATGCCCTCGCTCGCGCCGCGCTGCTTCGCCCGGAACTGCTTCAGCCGGTCGATGTGCATGGCGCGGCCGATCGGGATCCAGTCGTCGTTGCGCGCGTCGAGGCGGCCGCGGACAAAGGACTCGAGGCCGGTGTATTCCGTGGGGTTGCGCTTGAGGAGATAGTCCATGTAGAAGAGGTAGTGCAGCGCGTTGTGCTCGTGCTTCACGTGGTCCACGAACCCGCCCAGCCGCTGCTCAAACGCGAAGCGGTCGATGCTGCACACGAAGCACTTGTCGTCTGCGGGTGCGGTCGATGGTGCACGTGCGTGTGCGGGGTGGGAGGGTGGGAGGGTGGGTGGGTGGGTGGGTGGGTGATGCCGTGCGTTTGCAGGTGGGGAACAAGGGGAGGAAGACAAAGGGGGAGTAGCAGGGTGAGAGACGGAGGTGCTTGACAAGATTTGAGGCTGGTGGATGTGAATACATGGAAGAGCTGGTCCTTCAATTGGCAGGGAAGATTATATTATCCTCGTTTTGCTGATCAATAGGCAGGACATGGGGATTGATGGAAGGTATGTAGGGAGGGAGGGAGGGGGGAAGGGAGGTAGGAAAGGAGGGGCAGAAAAGAGACTCGCAATCACATACGTGCTTCTCCTTGGTGATTTCTAAGGCGCTTAATACCAGCCGCATAAAAAAAACGGGCAGAGAGGCGGCTCGAGCAGCTCACCTAGATCCTTCTCCTTGGCAGCCTTCTCGTCACGAATGGACGTGAACGCGTCGACAATCTGCCCCGTGAAGATATTCTGCAGCAGGAACACCCAGATGATGAGGAACGAGACGATAAACGCCGTCCGCAGCTGCCCGCGCACCCCCTCGAACATCGAGTCCGGCACCGCATCCCACTCCTTCCAAAGCCCTCCGATCGAGGAGCTCGAAAGCGCGTTCACGAGATGAGAGCCTATACACCCGTAGAGAGTGGTGCAGGCAAAGTCGTTGTCCCCTCCGAAGGCGAGAAAGGAGACGACCGCATACATGAAGATGACGAGGATTCCCACTAGGCCGGTGCGGATGAGCAGAGGGCCGCCCACATAGGCGGACTGCAGCACGATGGCTCCCGAGGGGTGGTAGATTAGGAAGTCGAGTAGGTGGAAGACAAAGAAGAAGGGCGACGAGACTATTCCCAGGATGCTGTAGAGGAGGGGGGCAGGGAAAGCGGGGGGGGGATGGGTGGGGAGAGTATGGGGGACAGGGGCAAAAGGGGGGTGTGGGGATGGGGAGAGGGGTATGTGGGTTTGAGATGTCTCAGGACCATTGCTGGCGAGGGGTGGCAGTTGAGAAAGTCGAGCAGATTGAAAAGGGAGGACGGGGGGAGGGGTGTGGGGAAAAAGGGAAGCACAATGGCACTGACCTGAACTGGTGACGCGCTGGGTGCAAGTTGTTTTGACAATAGCAAGACACATAACATAACAGGCAAGACAGGGTTCTAATCGAATGACAGCAGCACGCATGAAAGCGCACTTGTATTGCCCAGGAAGGGGGAAGCGCAGCTCTGCTGTGTTCACAGGAGCACGGCAACGAGCACACGTGAGTGAGTGGTGCTAGTAGTGGTGCTAGAAGTGGTGCTAGAAGTGGTGCTAGAAGTGGTGCTAGTAGTGGTGCTAGTAGTGGTGCTAGTACCAATCCTCATCTGGCGAGCGGCTTCGCTATCACATGGTGCACACTCCCCTGCCAACACGCATCCGATTATGTACCAGCGGTTCAAACAATCTGTTTATGAGTTGCCGAAAGAAATTTCCTCCTCACCTGGCAACGAGCATGGCAACGAGCATGGCAACGAGCATGGCAACGAGCATGGCAACGAGCATGGCAACGAGCATGGCAACGAGCATGGCAACGAGCATGGCAACGAGCATGGCAATGATGTACCGGAAGTCCCGGTTCTGCAGCAGCAGACGTTTGGGCACCCAGGCGTGACTCTTGAGTCCACTAAAAAATTACCTCCGGCTATTGTCACACGATACTTTCTACCCGAGCTCAGCAACTCACCTGGCAACGAGCATGGCAATGATGTACCAGAAGTCCCGGTTCTGCAGCAGCAGACGCTTGGGCACCCCCTCTAGCTCCTCCCACATCTCAGCTCCTCCCGCCCCCTCCTCCCCTTCCCCTTCCCCTTGCCCCAAGGCATCTGTGTGACCCCGCTCAGCTGGTAAGAAGGGGGGACCGAACGGGAAGGTGGTCAGGAAAGGGAGATGGAAGGGAAGGAAGGTGGAAAGAAGGAGGGGGAATGGGACAAGACGAACCAGCGAGGCTTGCATTGCAGCAGGGAAACGGTGCAGAAGATGGAGCTTTGAAAGAGCTTTGTGACGACGATATTGTCACATCACAGGAAGTCTGCATTAATGAGGTGCGAATGGGTGGACAGGACAGCACATCACTTTGCAAGGGGGCAGCAGTGGGCAACAACAGGGAGGGGCATAAGAAGGAGGGGCATAACAAGGAGGGGCATAACAAAGAGGGGCATAACAAGGAGGGGCATAACAAGGTGGGGCATAACAATGCGGGCGGGGACACAGCACAGCGGAGCACACACAATGTTGAATTCACCTAGAGAGGAGAGCGCCCCTGAGATCGCCTGTTCCTTGGCACGTCGCTCGTGCAGCACGAGGAGAGGCGACTCTATGAGCACAAACGCCACGAGGGTGAGTGCCCCTGCTGCCACCTGCAACAGCCCTATAAAGCGCACGAGCACCAGGCATAGCAAATGCCCGTGCCTCTCCCACAGGGAAAGAGAGATCGCGTCACTCGCTCCTCCTGCTGCTGCGGCTGCTGCTGCTGCTGTGGCGGCGGCTGTTGCAGCTGAGAAGGTTCCGGCGGTGGTGCTGCAGCAGCTGTTGTTGCTGGCTCCTGTTACAGTGCCATTTGGTAGCATCACACCCAGAAGCTCCTGAGCAGAACACGTCCTGACCGCAGCAGCAGCAGCCGACGCCGCCACTGCAGCAGCAGCAGCAGCAGCAGTGGAAGCAGCAGCAGCGGAGGCAGCATGGGTAACACCCCCCTGTTGCTGTAACCCCTGCAGGTGGTTACCAGCAGGAGCGGTGCTGAGCTGGGTGTTACTAAAGACAAGGATGGTGACTATAACGATGGAGAGGTAGAAGGGGGCGCGCTTGAGGTGGGTCATGCGGGCCTGCAGCCAGCCGGACCAGGCGTATCGCAGCCGCATGCGCTCGTAGTGCTGCACCTTGTATACCAGCAGCCGCGCCGCTGCCATGAACTGCTGAACTTTCTGTGGGATGGGGATGGGGATAGGGAGAAGCAACAAAGAGGGAATGGTACGATGGGGTTAGATTAGAGGCAAGAGTCACTGCAGTGCTCGAATTGAATTGCTGCTGGTGAAAAGGACTTTTGGAATATTTGTCGGCTGGAGAAAGGGAGCAAATGGCGAAACGGCATGCAGGGTACGGCTGGTCATGCACTCGCAGTGTTGTGACAGCTTGTAGCAGTAGCCTCGAGTTGCGACAAGCGCATAACCCCTACTACGTGCTTCTGCACTGCAGAATCATACATAAAAAAAAACCCAACCACTCACCTGGATAGGGTTCTCTCTTGGAACGTCATACAGCTCCTGCAGGGCAGCCTGGGTCCACTGGGGGTTCTTGTGAGCGATTTGTAAGAACTCTCACGCATCGCTCCCACCCACTCACCTGGATAGGGTTCTCTCTTGGAACGTCATACAGCTCCTGCAGGGCAGCCTGGGTCCACTGGGGGTTTGTGAGCGATTTGTAAGAACTCTCACGCATCGCTCCCACCCACTCACCTGGATAGGGTTCTCTCTTGGAACGTCATACAGCTCCTGCAGGGCAGCCTGGGTCCACTGGGGGTTTGTGAGCGATTTGTAAGAACTCTCACGCATCGCTCCCACCCACTCACCTGGATAGGGTTCTCTCTTGGAACGTCATACAGCTCCTGCAGGGCAGCCTGGGTCCACTGGGGGTCCTGAGACAGCCTCCTGCATTCCGGGGTCAGCGGGAAATAAACCTTTTCCAGCTGCCCGTCGCGCACGACCTCGATAGCACACGAGCGCTGGTTGAAGAAAACTTCCAGGTCTTGGTCACCCACTGATAGGGTGTGTTCAAAGCACAGAGTTCCGATTCTCTGCGGCTTGTCACATTTTAGAACGGAATATGCACACGTGGCAAACGGCCCTGACCTCCCCATAAGCCTTGCAAAACTCAACATTCCTCCCCCTCCCCCTCCCCCTCCTCCGCCGCCTCCTCCTCCTCCTCCACCTCCCCCCCCTCCCACTCCCCCATTCCCTCGCCCACCCGCTCCTCCCCCACCCCCACCCCCGGACGATCCGTCTGCTGACGTGGACCAATCGGATTTCTGGCTGGGCTCGCCGCTGCAGTACATCCAACGGTCGAAATCATCCAGCTTGATGATTATAATGAGGGAATTGAGCACCTCGCCTGGCAGCAGGAAGAGAAGGGAGTCTGTATTGAATGTGCTCCAAAGGGGGGGACGCCACTGTGGGGAGATGGATGGAGCAGAAGTGCTGATGTGAGGGTGCCGAGAAGAGAGATTGGGGACGGTGGAGGAGGGAAGGGACTTGTTATGTGCGGAAGATTGGGAGGATAGAGGAGCGAGGGGAGGTCCTTTCCTTATCTTCAGTCCCCCACCTCCTGTTCCTCCATCTCCTAATCCTCTTACATCTCTTTCTCCTTTACCCCCTCCTGAACCACTACCTCCTCCATCATTGTTGAAAACACCTGAGATTCTACCTGAGCCTTGCCGTGCCAGAGCAGCCAGACTGGATCGCCAGCTAGATGCCCGTGGGAGGCCAGCAAATGACAAACTGCCACGTGCTCCAATCAAGGAACGTGATGCAACATTTCCTGAACCTGCCCCTGCCCCTGCCCCTGCCCCTGCCCCTGCCCCTGCCCCTGCCCCTGCCCCTGTTTCTACTCTTGAAACTTGCTCATTCTCTCTCCCTGCTGCATCCTCTCCCCGGCTATCATGCTCCGCACAAGCTGCACGTGCTAGAGGGCCCGCGGCACCAGCAGGCATGGACATGGCTCGTGGAACACCCACACTTCGTTTTCCTCTCCCTTCTACACCTGACGCTACCTGCGCTCCTCTTACCCCTGCTCCTGTTGACTTTTCTGCTGCTGCTGCTGGCGCTGCTGCTGCTGCTGCTGCTGCTGCTGCTGCTGCTGCTGCTGCTGCTGCTGCTGCTGCTGCTGCTGCTGCTGCTGCTGCTGCTGCTGCTGCTGCTGCTGCTGCTGCTGCTGTCCCTCCCTCCTCCACCACCCCCTCTCCCACCCTCTCCATAGGCTTCCCCCACCCAACCCGTGAGCCCACACCTGAACCCACGCCTCGCCAGATCCTCACAGCTTCATCCCCTCGCATCCCCCCATCCTCTTCCCTTCCCATTTGACTGTTTGCAGCACAGTATGTTCCTTCCCCTCGCACATCCCCTCTCCTGTCCTCGCCTCGCAACCCCCCTGCAGCAGCCACGGCAGCAGCACTCGCAAGTCTCCCACTGTTACTCCCACCGTTATTCCCAACCAGAATTCGCTTAAGACGCCTCAAAGCAGTTGCATCGCCAGCAGCAGTACTATCACCACTAGCACCAACACCAGCAGGACCAGCACTGGAAACACCAGCACAGCCACCGGCACCAGCACCGGCACCGGCACCGGCACCGGCACCAGCAGCAGCATGGTCAACAGCACCCTCACCACCGCGAAACCTCGCTGCCAAAAACTGCAAGAACGACCCAGAACCTTCACCTGCCTCCGCTGCCCCTCCCACCCCCGCCACCGCCACCGCCGCCGCCGCCGCCGCCGCCACTGCTGCTTCGCCGCCATGCTCCATCCGATCACCACGAGCCACCATATACTCTCTCAGCATCTGCCGCAGGAACGCGATCAGGCTCTGCGACGACTCGAAATCCCTGCCCGCGTCGGGACAGCCCAGCTTGTACTCCCTGAGAACCTGCTGCAGCTGGCGGCAGCGGTGCAGCAGGGAGGTGAAGTCGATGACTGCTGCCATCTTGCTGGGGATCTCGCTGTTGGTGCCGATCTCCTCGAGTAGAGAGAGGTAGACTGAGAACACCCCGTTGCGCAGCCAGCACCGCAGGTCGTTGGCGCTTAGCTGGTGAGGAAGAGGAGGGGGGGAAGGGGCGGGAAGGGGAGGAAAAGCAAGGGAGGGCACTTAGCAACCCTAAACCCTTGACTCGCCACTTCCATACATAATATTGCTGAGCGCCCTAGAAAAAAAAGAACACATCAGCACAGCAGCGACCCAAACAAAAAAATCCAATCTAGAGCACTCACCAAAGGACATCCAGCTCCTCCCGCGGGTCGGGACCCGAGCGCAGTGTAGCTCAGAATACCCGCAATGACATCCGGCGAGTAGCGCACGGGCGGCGTGCGCTCATCCTGTTCGCGGTAGTTGAGCGAGGCGAGCATTCGTTGCGTGATGGAGAGGAAGTTGGAGCGCACGAGAGCCAGCTGGTTCTCAAAGCACGGGCCCTGGATGGCCTCTAACAGCGTGTTGAGCGCCTGTGGTGAGGTAGACAACGGGAGGGAAAGGGAGGGGAAAAGGAGGGGAAGCGAGGGGAAGAAAGGGGAAGAGAGGAAGCGAGAGGGGAGAAGGGGAACGGTAAGGGCTGAGGCGTGGAATGCAGGAGGTGTTGAGAGAGCACAGAAGAGTGTTGAAGGGTGACGAGAGTGCTGAGCTGACGGGTAAAGAGAGTGGTGATGAGAATAATGAACGAGTACATTCAGAAGACGAGGATGATATGAACGCACGTCCCTATTATTGACAAGTTACAACTCTCTTGTTCAGCGTTCATCATGCGTCATGAAAAGGAAACCACCTCTCTCAGGTTTTCACATACCTGTAGAGCGATTTCGACCAGTAGAGGGTTCTTCTGCCCTAGATTCTTATCCAGAGACGGCTGCAAATGCTCCAGAAACACTATAATCTCCTGCAACACATTCACCCCTTTCCCCTCCACCGCCCCGCCTCCCCCTCCGCCCCACCCCCTTCCCCCTCCCGCCCCTCCCCCAATCCCCACTCCCCCTCCCCCGCCCCCGGCAGCCCCATCATCGTCCGCTCCTCCTGACCGTTCGATCCCGGCACTCGGAGGGCCAGGATACTCCTGCAGGCGCAGCAGGCGCTGCATATCCGCGTTATGGCCCTCACACATGAGCTGGAGCATTCTTAAGAGGTTGGTAACATGCCCAGAGAGAATCACCCATGCCTTCTTGTGCAGCGTTGTGTCTCTACTCGTCGCCTTCGTCCCCTCCTCGTTTTCCTCCACATCCCACAGCCGGTAATCCTCCTCCTCTCCACCTGCTACTGACGCCCCACCACCACCTCCTCCTCCTCCTCCTCCTCCTCCTCCTCCTCCTCCTCCTCCTCCTCCTCCTCCTCCTCCTCCTCCTCCTCCTCCTCCTCCTCCTCCTCCTCCTCCTCCTCCTCCCCCTCCTGCCCCTCCTCCTGACCCCCCTCCTCCTGCCCCCTCTCTCGCTGTCATCGGTGTTTCTGCAGGGGATTCTAGCCCATCAGGGTCCATTGTTCCAAGTCCGAGCCCAGCCCCTGGCGTTGTTGCTGGCGTTTCTAGTGTCTCCCCAAGATCAACCGACCAAGTTTTGATCCTCATCCTGGCATATGCACCCATGTTGCCACCCAAGCGAGCACCACCCCTCTCACTGGAAACAGCCACCTCTCCAGCCCCACTCCTCTCACCAGCCCCACTCCTCTCACCAGCCCCACTCCTCTCACCAGTCCCACTCCTCTCATCAGCCCCACTCCTCTCACCAGTCCCACTCCTCTCACCAGTCCCACTCCTCTCACCAGTCCCACTCCTCTCACCAGTCCCACTCCTCTCATCAGCCCGACTCTTCTCGTGGCTCCCGCTAATGCCGCCCCCTCCGCTCTCCACCCCAGGACCCTCGAGAGACCTGGCAGCGCCACTGTTGGTTGATCTCGTGTTTGTCCCATTGATCCGACCATCAGATGCAGTGCTGATACTGGAAGGAGGCTGCGAAGAGGGAGAAACACCAACACCATCCGATGCACCAGATGGACTTGGATCCATCATCCCTGCTGCTTCTGTTGCTGACGACGGGGGCTCCTGCTGTGTGCAATCAAGACCGTTGTGACTGTGATGAGAAGCAGAGGAGGAAGGGTCTCCTGGGAACGCACACTGAGCACTCACCTCTCCTTGCACCCCTCCCACATCTCCACACACAACCATCCCCGCATGCCCACTAATACCAGTACCTACATCCACACTCTCAGTCGTTGCCTCTTCTCCTGCTTCAGAATCTGCAACAGTATCGTCAGCAGCAGGATGCGAACTGGTGAGGGCAGGACGAGGGGAATCAGCCTCGGAAGGTCTTTCTTTTATCACTATTTCCATGTCCAGTCCACCTTCCCCACCCTCGTTGCCTATACTGCTGCTGCTGCTGCTGGTACTGCTGCTGTCGCTGCTGCCACTGCTGTTGCCCCATCGACTGCCAAGCAGCCTTCTACCCAGCACATCCCCATTTGCTGCAACCGCCCTTCTTTCCAGTTTATCATTGTGACCTTCCTCCTCCTCCGCTCGACGCTGCATCGCATGTTGAGCAGACCCCGATCGTTCCTTCATCATTCTCACCGCGTTTAGAAACAAAGCCCGTGTTGCTGCTCGGCCCGTCCCCCGTTGGCTCTCCGCACCCCCCTCCTCTGCTTCCGCAGCGCCCCTGCTTAACCACGCTTCCCGCGCCCCCTCTCTGCTCCTCCCCTCTGCCTCACTGCTGCTACCAGCCCCATTGTTACCCCCAACTGGAAACGCCTTAGAATTCATCGGAGAAATTCCACACTCCGTGTTCGCCCCACCAGCCTCCTCTCTCAACGGCTGAGACCCATACCTACCACCACCATTGCCAACGCTACCAGCACTATGGAATCTAGTGGTAGTAGTACCCAAGTCGCCCCTATCTCTGCTTACCCTTAAAGGATCGTCTCTCTGGTTCTGACCAGGCGCACCCCTACCGCCATTGTACTCAGGCCCAGCTCTCTCTCCCTCCCTGTCTGCTCCTGTTCCGCCCATTCTCCCTCCCCCTCTCCCTCCCCCATCCGGCCCATCACCCTCACTCCTCCCTCCCACTCCACCCCCACCCTTCTCCCCCCCTCTCCCTCTCCCTCCCCTCCCCCCCACGCGCATCTGCCTCCTCTCCATCTCCTCCCGCCTCGCCTTCACCTCAGCCTTATCCAACCCCTTCCTCACAAACTTAACCGTTGACGACGCCGCAGCAAGCACCTTCTTAACCGTCTGGAAAAACTCCGGCTCGTGAACAAGAACAGAGTACATAGTGGCCTGCACTCGCCCGTTCCCTTCGTCTGTGAGGGCAATCGCAAGCTTCACTGCTTCCGCTTGCACCCACTGGCTCGGGTGGCTGACGAGTTTCACAGCGCATGCAGCCAGGCCCATGTCTGTGTACCCGCATTGCACGCGGGCTAGGGCTTCAAGGGACGATTTGGAGTATCGGACTGGTACTGAGGCTTCAAACATGTCCCACTTGCCCATTGTTCGGAGTCTCTCGGGCTGCCCTTTCATCCCTCCTCCTCCTCCTACCCCTCCTCCCCCTCCTCCTCCTACCCCTCCTCCCCCTCCTCCTCCTCCCCCTCCTCCTCCTCCTCCTCCTCCCCCTCCTCCTCCTCCTCCTCCTCCTCCTCCTCCTCCTCCTCCTCCTCCTCCTCCTCCTCCTCCTCCTCCTCCTCCTCCTCCTCCTCCTCCTCCTCCTCCTCCTCCTCCTCCTCCTCCTCCTCCTCCTCCTCCTCCTCCTCCTCCTCCTCCTCCTCCTCCCTCTCCTCCCTCTCCTCCCTCTCCTCCCTCTCCTCCCCCTCCTCCCCCTCCTCCCCCTCCTCCTCCCCCATCACCATCACCATCACCATCACCACTTGCAGCACGAGCAGCACTTGTCGCACCAGCGGCAGCACTAGTACTTCCCCCACCACCACCGCTGCTGCTGCCACCACCACCATCATCAGCACCTTCATTCTCACCACCACCACCACCACCACCACCACCACCACCACCACCACCACCACCAGAAAAAACCTTTACATTCTCCTGCTTCATCACAGGCTTGCCGTCCCAATCGTCTGTCAGGTAGATCATGGCTCGGCACACCCGAAGCAGCCGAACCATCAGGTCCGGAGTCAGCTGCGGCGGGACCTTAGGGCTGGACAGCAGGCTCGTCAGCTGCGGCACCACATTATAGTAGTGGAACGGAGGGGTGTATGACACGTCAACCGGCCGGCGTTGAGTCAGCATGAGCGCCAGGTGTCGCGCTCCCGACCCTTCCATGGTCTGAAGGTCGGAAATATCTAACTTCTGCGAGAACAAGCGGCAGAAATTCACCCAATTCGCTTTGAAAATCTGCCCCTTGCGCTGCAACTCTGTGCCTCGGGCACGACTCACCGCCGCCCGATCGACAAAATATGGCAGAGAAGACGGGCCGTAGTCAAATCTAGACACCGCACCAGCTGCTTTCATCTCCTCGATACATCTCAAGGGGGCATCGCGCTGCGAGGGAGGCAGCTTGCCGCAGAGGAGCCAGATGGCGTCTGCTAATTGGTCCAGAAGCACCCGGTGGGAATCTGGCAGGTTGGCTCTTCGAGCAATGAAGTGGCGTTTAAAGTAGGAAGTCAGCATGGGCAGCGCTGCTGTCGCCACGAAATGCTGTGCGGAGCCTTCGGGCGGCGCGTGATCAAACTCCTCAGATGCTGCCAGCTGTAGCTCGGAGATTAGATCCTCGATGAGGCACGGGCGAGGTTCGGCAGAGGAGGGGTTGAGGGGAAAGAGACCTGCTGCTGCCACTGTGAGTGCTGCTGATGATCCGATTGATATTGGACGATGGCGGCTGTCTTTGTTATCCCGGCTGTGTCTTCTTGTCGGATCGAAACCTGTGAAGGCGGCAGTGGTGGGACCATGAGGAGGAACAGCGGCAGAAGCAGCAGCAGAAGCAGCAGAAGCGTTAAGAGTAGCACCAGGAGCAGATCTGCGACCGATAGCAGCAGCAGAGCCAGCAAAATCAATGCCAGCACCACCACCACCACCAGTGGCAGTCGCACCCGCCAACCCACCAAAACCCCTTCCACCAAACCCCCCACCTACCGACCCCGCTCCTACTCCTCCAGCACCTCCTCCTCCAGCACCTCCTCCTCCCTCCCCAACCCCTCCTCCTGCTCCTCCTGCTACTCCTCCGGCTGCTCCCCCTTCCCGTCGTGGCAGCTCCTGCGGCCAGATTCCGTTGGTGGGGTCACGGATTTCAGCAGTGGCTCGGTCGCTGTGCCCTGTGACGTAAACCTGATGCAGCAGGCGCACATATGCTGCCTTCACTAGATGAATCGTTGCCATGTCGATTACAGACTGTGTGGTATCAGGCTTGGATGCTGCTGCTGCTGCTGCTGCTGATGTTGCCCCTGCTGTTGCTGCTGATGCTGCTGCTTCCGTGGTTGTTGTTCCTGCTACTGACGCTTCTGCTGTTTTTTCTCCTGGCTGTGATGCAGACGACGCCTCTCCAGAAGCTGGTTTCCCAACTCCTCCACTTCCTCCTCCTGCTTCTACTGCTGCTATAGCTGCTGCTGCTGCTGCTGCCAATCCTCCTCTTCTTCCTCCTCCTCCTCCTCCTCCTCCTCCTCCTCCTCCTCCTCCTCCTCCTCCTCCTCCTCCTCCTCCTCCTCCTCCTCCTCCCCCTCCTCCTCCCAACTCTTCTGTCCCTTCACCTCTCTGCGGCACCGATAGGTGCCTCCGCCTCTCCTCCAACCACTTCCCCTTCCCCACATCCCGCCTCTCTTCCACCTGCCGCTCCTCCGTTCTCTCCCTACCCTCCTTCACCCCCACTCTCTCCCTACCCTCCCTCTCCCCCTCCCCCCCCCTCTCGCTCTCCCCCTTCCTCTCCCTCTCTGGCTCCTTCTCTCTGGCGTTCTGTGCCATTTTGGATTCAGAGCTGAGCCAGAGCAAGGTAGCCATGACCTCGCCCAGTCCCACCAGCCCGCCCACCTTCACTGCGTGCGCTGGGTTGTTCCCCCAGCAGCACGCGGCGAGCAGAGAGACATACGCTGCATGGAAGCGCACCTGACAGTGACGGGGATAGGGAGGGAGGAAGAAGGAAAGGGGGGAGGAAGAGAGGATGAAAACTCAGAGAAGAAGCAATATAATATCTGGGCCAGACGCCCTTGCATTTCCGCGTGTGCTGAGGGTCCTTGCCCCACAAGCAAGCAGCCAACCTTGGGCTTTGCTGGAACAGAGACACATGCCGCTGCACTGCACTGCACACAGCAGCAGCTCGCGTTAGCGCGAACAAGTGTGGCTGTTACATGCCCCACAGAGCTGAAAATGAGGCTCAAAATGGATCCCTCTCAACCTCAACCACCTGCCCCATGCGGTCTCACTCCCCATGCGGTCTCACTCTCACTTAGGCGAAGCAAAACCAGTGCCTCACGTGCTGCCCGGGGCCTACCGCACCAGCGACTCACCTGCCCCAACCACACCACCTCCTCACCTGCCCCAACCACAGCATCTCCCCACTCACCTGGCTCTCATGGGGCTTAGCAGCAGCCTCGCCAGCAGCCATGAGCTCCCGGCGCCGCCTCCAGTGCGCGGGTGACTTGGGCAGGCCAGCCACGGAGTGCGTGTGATCAATCACCATGTCTAGCACTGCTGTCTGGTTGCGACCCATGGGCTTTCCATTCACCACCACCACCGTCTGCCACAGGGAACGCGGATTGGGAAGCAGGTGGGTTAGGTTTTATGCTGACTCAAGACGCGGTTTGGGCAGGCCAGCAACGGAGTGGGCGTGTGTGTGTGTGGTCAATGGCCGTCCGTGCCCAGCACGGCTGCCTGGTTGCGTTGCGACCCCTGGGCTTGCCATTCACCACCACCATGGTGTGATCTGATCTGATACAGGGGAAGAGAACGCAGGGAAGCAGAGCAGAGCTAACCAGACCAGTCATGGGGACAGATTTGTGAACCTTGTGAGAATCTTCTTTGCAAGGTTTGCCAAGCTGCCATTCACCATGGTCCATCCCATCACCACCGTTTTCCAAGAGGACGAATGGGGGAGCCTCCACTTTGCTTTGTGTAAGTGAACTCACCTTCTGAAACACGACTCCCCCCCCCCCCTCCCTCCCCCTCCCACCATGAATACCCTGTGAAGCCTCACCTCAAGGAACCTGAGCCAAGAGTGGCGGCGGTTGAATTTGAGAATGAGACGGAAGCACGACCAAATGAGGTCCAGCCCCACCTGGGATGGAGGCAGGGGAGAGAGAGGGGGAAGGAAAGGGGGAGGGGAGACAGGTGGGAGAAGGCGGGGTGGGAGGGGAATGAGAAGGGGGGAGCGAGAATGAATGAAAAAAAAAAAAAAAAAAAAAAAAAAAACAGACGAGGGAACTTGCAGAATTGTTCCATAACCTACTGCACACACAATAACGAACGTCATGGTATTCCTAGATACACCACACCACATATCCCAGCAGAGTTTCCTGATCCTCTTCTCTAGCCACACACATGTCTCCTGTGGCCTTCTCTAGAAACATATATCTTATCCACTGTTCTGCACACACAGATCCTATCCCTTGCTGTGAGCACAGAGTGTGGAACACAGAGTGGCATGGGTGGTGTACGGTCCACCCACCTGAGCACAGAGCTCGTAGTTGTCTCTGAGTATGGAGCACAGACACTCTGTCACCTGCTCGTGCAGTGGGGGAATAGCCAGGCATAACAGTCAGGAGTGAAGGGGCGACAGGGTGTGCAATGGCGGTGGGACCGTGGGACGTGGAGGGTACTAGGGGATGAGCTAACAGAGTTCTAATGTGACTGAGTGTGTGTTTCTGCCGTGCACATATGTGTGTGTGTGGATGCATTTGTGGATATGGGTAACAGGCAAACACATGGTTGCATGGTGCATGGGAAAGGTGTATTCGTGTGCACGGATGGATACATGAACTTAAAGCTCAAGGCCCAAATTGCGAAGCGCGCGGGGCAAGTTTACTATTCTTGCACACTTCGCGTTTTTTGTGCTGTCTCTTCGTGTGAAGCAATCTGATTGGTTACGGAAGGTTTAGAAGCAATCTGATTGGTTACGGCAGGTTTAGAAGCAATCTGATTGGTTACGGTGCAAGTTTCTCAACTCAGCAATTTGGGACTCTCGGTCCCCAAACACACGGTGCCCCCAGAACTTCGCGTTCACCAACCCCACCCCCAGCACCCAACCTTGCACAAGATTACTAATCTTGTGCAATTTGGGCCTTGAGCTTTAAAACATGTGTGCAAGATTGCACGCCAATGTATCAGCTACAGCAAACCTCACCTGCAATCGAACTCACCACACCAGGTATCACCTGCACAACAAATCGCCTGATGCATGCATGTGTGTTGTGTATACGGGACAATCCCACCTGCACCAATCCCACCTGCACCAAGACCCACCTGCACCAAGTCCCACCTGCACCAATCCCACCTGCACCAATCCCACCTGCACCAATCCCACCTGCACCAATCCCACCTGCACCAATCCCACCTGCACCAATCCCACCTGCACCAATCCCACCTGCACCAATCCCACCTGCACCAATCCCACCTGCACCAATCCCACCTGCACCAATCCCACCTGCACCAATCCCACCTGCACCAATCCCACCTGCACCAATCCCACCTGCACCAATCCCACCTGCACCAATCCCACCTGCACCAAGACCCACCTGCACCAAGACCCACCTGCACCAAGTCCCACCTGCACCAAGTCCCACCTGCACCAAGTCCCACCTGCACCAAGTCCCACCTGCACCAAGTCCCACCTGCACCAAGTCCCACCTGCCCGACGTCCCACCTGCACGCCCTGCAGCCCTCGGTGGGGCAGCATGAGGGGGATGAAGGGGAAGAGAGTGAGCTGGATCTCCTCGTTCACCACTCCCCCACAGAACTGCCAGCGACGTTGTGTGGGGGGGTGAGGGGTAAATGAGAAGCAGGAAAGTATTTTTCAATGGTGAGATTGATAGAAAGCGGTGCAGATGTATGGTGATTGATTTATGAACCCCTTGCATGTGGAAAGCGTAACATATGGTTGGCGCGAAACTAATGGTGTCGGAAAAAAAAAAAAAAAAAAAAACATGTGCACTCAGGCGTTAGTTGGTTGCCAGTACCATGGTGAGGAACTCGTAGGCCGCTTGCAGCAGCGCCTGCAGCCCCTCATCCTCGAGACAGTCCATCTCGCCCCGCACTTGAGACGGCACTCGGCGGAAGGGCAAGCGCAGCATGTCACCTGCAGCACCGAGCACACACACACACACACACACACACACACACACACACACACACACACACACACCGACGGAAAGAAACGAACAAAGACGGAATGAAACACAGGAGCGCCCCAAAGCAAAGCACACAGAAGAACCACAAACACAGGAAACGAAACGAAGAGGTGCCAATAAAGAGAAAGAACGACATGAACTCACTTTTCCTTTCACCATCTCCTACTTCACTCATTCTCGACACATCTATCCCACCTCCTCTTCCCACTCCCATCTCTCTCTACCTAAGGCCGGAGCTTCCTCCCCCATCTCCCACACCCCTATCTCCTGCACGCAAACACAGTCAGAAAGCACACTTGCAAACAAGAGATCCTCTTTGCAGCATCTACACAGACACACAGAGGACAGTCCTGCCTTGCTACTTTCCAGAACAGAAAAAGAACCCCGGGAGGACTCACGAGCGCAGCAGTGGGCGCCAAGGGTCTTGAGAATCGTCTGGTGTTTCACCACCTGCGCCTCGTTCTGCCCCTGGCTCAGAGTGCACATATCCCGGAACTTCCACAGCACCTCGCAACACCGCCGCCGCACCTCCCCTCGCAGCAACTCATTATCGCTCCCCAGCCATCCGTGCAGCGATCGCAGCATGTTCACGTCGTGAGCGACTTGCTTGTACAGCCGTAGCACGTCTGGATCCACGACGATATGAGTGGAGAGCATTTTCCGCAGGAGGGATGCCTTTTCCATCATGTAGCGGTCGATTAAGGCGAACGCAAGTGCTCTTAACGGAGCGTACTTGTAACGAGTCAGGTCGAGTAAGACCTTCATCATGTAAGGTACCCGGTTTACTGTTTTGCTTCTCGCTTCTCTCTCCTCCCCGCGTCCGCCTCCCCCGTCGTCTCCTCCCATCCTCGCTCCCGCTTCCTCCCTCAGCCGTGCCTCTTCTTGCACTCCTGCTTCTTCTCTCAAAACAGCCCCTGAGGGACTGAGCTCCGGCGTTTCAAATAAGTCTTTGAAGAGTTGATCGAATACTGCTGAATCAGGGGGCCCCACTCGCGACGGCCTGACAAACCCTCGGAGGGTGGAAGCAGCTTCGAGCTTCAAACGAGTGGACCACCAGAGAGACTTTCTCCTCATAATCAGCGCGTTGCTGTTGCCACCACCACCACCGCCACTGCCACTGCCACCGCCACTGCTGTTACCGGATCCGTAACTGTATCCACTCCCCCCTCCTCCTCCACCACCACCACCACCACCAGCAGCACCACCACCATTGCCACCATACGCCTTCCTCCCACCACCACCCTCCAGTCCCGATCCGCCGAATCTCCTCCCTACACCCTCCCCTCCAATCAGCCCATTCTCCCCTCCCAATGCTCTCTGCAGAGCTGCAACAGCATCCTTGGGAATCCCCGAATCCAGTGAAGCTAAGGACGCGGAGTGAAAGGAGGTGTGCTGGGACAAGGCCGAGGAGGAGGAGGGGGTGGTGGAGGTGGTAACCGCAGCGACGGATGAAGGATACCCGGAGGAGTAGGGGTCGGAGGGGCGGGAGAGGAGGAGTGGCATGTCCCAGAAGTTGGCAATGGTGCGATCGCCAAGGTCGCAGTAGCAGTCGAATGCGATGCTGATGCACCAGTTGATGCGCATGTCGAATATGTACATGAGCATGGCACACATGATGGTCTTGGCCTGTGGGGATGGGGGGGTGGGAGAAGGGGGATGGGTGAGTGGGTTTGGAAAAGTGATGCTGATGCACCAGTTGATGCGCATGTCGAATATGTACATGAGCATGGCACACATGATGGTCTTGGCCTGTGGGGATGGGGGGGGTGGGAGAAGGGGGATGGGTGAGTGGGTTTGGAAAAGTGATGCTGATGCACCAGTTGATGCGCATGTCGAATATGTACATGAGCATGGCACACATGATGGTCTTGGCCTGTGGGGAAGCATGGGATGGGATGGGGAGCGGTGGGAGGGGGTGCAGGGTGGTGGGGAGAAGTGGTGTGAATGGATACACCAGCTGCTGATGCACCGGTTGATGCGCATGTCGAATAGGTACACAAGTATGGCACACATCTCAAAGTCAGTTTTCGAGACATCTCAAAACAGCGAGTGTTTTTTGAGAATTCTCAAAAAACACTTGATGAGCGTGTCAAAAGTACATAAGTATGGCACACATCTCAAAGTCAGTTTTTCGAGACATCTCAGAACGCGCACCTCCATGACGGCGCTGCTGTGCGGCTCATGCTGGCTCTCGAACCTCAGCCTGCAGCTGCTTTTGAGGCGCCTCAAGAAAGACCCGCCTCCTTGTGAGGCCCTCAAACTCACCTCCATGACGGCGCTGCTGTGCGGCTCATGCTGGTTCTCGAACCTCAGCCTGCAGCTGCTTTTGAGGCGCCTCAAGAAAGACCCGCCTCCTTGTTAGGCGCCTCAAACTCACCTCCATGACGGCGCTGCTGTGCGGCTCGTGCTGGTTCTCGAACCGCAGCCTGCAGCTGCCGTCCCATGGCTCCGACCTGCCATCCAGCAGAGGGATGATCGCCGCCACCACTTGCGCTATGGAGCTGTCCCAGTCCTGGTGGCGCGATGCGGCATGGAGTGGCATTGGAAAACAGGAGTCAATCAGGACAAACAGAAACTCATTGGGAGGTCCCGGCAGAGGGATGATAGCCGCCACCACTTGCGCTATGGAGCTGTCCCACTCCTGGTGGCGCGGCATGGAGTGGCATTGGAAAACAGGAGTCAATCAGGACAAACAGAAACTCATTGGGAGGTCCCGGCAGAGGGATGATCGCCGCCATCACTTGCGCTATGGAGCTGTCCCAGTCCTGGTGGCGTGACATGTGGGGTGTGTGGCGTGGTGCGTGGGGTGGTGTGTGGAGTGGAGGTGTGTTGTAGGTGGAAAAAAATAAAAATAAAAATCAATCTGGAAACACAATTTTTTAAAAGAGCAGCGGGTTGCTTGCAGCCATTGCAAGCAACCCTTTCTCCAGCCAAGGAAATCAGCAACACGGGAAATCAACGGCACTCAAAACAACAACAGCGCTAGACATGGCATGCACGCACCTGAGAGAAGTTCCCGAAGAGCCCGAACTGCAGCATGATGCTGCCCATCTGCAGCACGGCCAGTGTGAGCGCACTCTGCCCCGCGGAGCACGCAGACGACAACCTGGTCCCGTGCAGGTACGCCAACGTGCGCGCCTTCAGCTCGCCAAACTCCCTCTCTGGCGCCTTCCCTGGGAAGGCAGAGAAGGGGTCCGCCATGGCCATGTTCACATGGTCGGGCTCGCTGAGGGTTTCTGCATCTGAGTCGTCGATGGTGGGCCTGGTGGGTGCACGGGGTTGGGAGGAGGGGGAACGGTGGATATTGCTGGGAAAGCTTTGGCATGAGAAACGGGGAAAGGAGGAGAAGGAGGAAAAAGGGGTCTGCCATGGCCATGTTCGCATGGTCAGGCTTGCTGAGGGTCTCTGCATCTGAGTCGTCGATGGTGGGCCTGGTGGGAGCACAGGGAAGGGGAGGTTGGTGGTGGTAGGTTGGTTTGCATTGGGGGAGGCTCAGAACCTGTTGGGAGGCCAGCTCAAACAGCTCTCTGTCGAGGTACATGCGCGCATGAACATGAACAGTTGGCAGCTGCTGGTGATTGAGTTGAGCTGACTCAAAAACGACTCACCAGGTGAGCATGACGCTGCCCTGTGACACCAGCTCGAACGGCTCCCTATCCAGGTACATGCGCGTGAGCAGGCGGCAGCAGTTGGTGCGCAGGAAGAAGGGCAGAGCGTCGTTGAAGACGACCATGCGCAGCGTGCCATAGTCCAGCCCGTACAGGTGGCTGTCCTCTATCAGCCAGTCTATGGCCTTGCGGTTGCGCTGCAGACACAGCGTGCAGTACAGCTCCAAGGAAACCACGTAGAAGAGAAAGAGAACCTCTGAGGGGTGGGTGGGGAGAGGGGAAGGGGGGAAATGGGACACTCAGAAATGTTTAACGTCTGCTCATGTGCATTATGAAACCGCATCTGGCTCAGGCACAGGGTGCAGTAGAGCTCCAGGGAAAGGACGTAGAAGAGAAACAGCACCTCTGAGAGGTGGGGGGGAGAGGGGGAAGGTGGGAATGGGGTGGTGGGAAAAATGAAGGGGAGAAACAGGTCGGAAGGAAAGACTTTGAGAGCCTGCTTATGCGGGTTGGGTCGGCTCAGATCCGGCGCAAGCAAGCCTCTATGGACTGCACTTCAGAGGCCAGCACAAACGGATGGGGTACATCGTATGGAGTCAGTCAGAAGGTGCTCGCATGTCTGTCACAAAGACCTTCAGAATCGACACTCAATACACAAATCCAAGAAGCAAAACACCACCACAAACACTACCCAGTGCAAAACTACGCCCCAGTCCATCCATACCCATGAAATGAAAATCCCATGCCTAACACACCCAGCGAGAGACCCTCATGCCCAAATCCCACAGACAGACACACACCCTGCGGAGTGCGGCGAATGGAGTCAGAATGCGGGCCCAGCTGCTGCAGATCCGCGTACGCCTCACAATCCACCTCCACCCCATCCCAGCGCCTCAGAATGAGCGTCTGACCCCCTCTAACAAGCCGGGAGGGAGCGGGGCGGGCCTGCACGAGGATATCGGCGTTCTCTCGCAGAATGTCCACCACGACGTTCTGGTTGGAGCGCACTGGTGCGCCCTCGCTGCTGCAGATGATGTTCAAGAAGCGGATGTCCCGCGGGCGCTGGAACATGCGGCAGTTGGTCACTCGCTGCCGGATCTGGGTGGGCGAAGGAAGGGAGGGAGGGGGAAGGGAAGGGGGGTTGGCAAGATGGTTTTGAGAGGTCGCAACACATGCGACGGTTGGTCACTCGCTGCCGAGTTTAGGTGGGCGAAGGAGGGGGGTGGGAGAGGGGGTGGCGATTGAGTCGGCTCATAAGCCATGACGTTGAGGAAGCGGATGTCCCGCGGGCGCTGAAACATGCGGCAGTTGGTCACTCGCTGCCGAATCTGGTTGGGCGAAGGAAGGGAGGGAGAGGGAGTAGGGAGCAAGGCGTGGTTGGCAGAAGAAGCAGGGTGTATAGGGTACTTAAGGTCGGGCATCGTATCCTAATGTTCTTGGTTGGTTTTTCTGTTTGCTTACTACTTGGCAAGGCTTTGCAGAAGGCACCAAAGGGCCATCAACAACCCCATCACCGATTGCAACGCTTGCACCGGTTGCATTGCACCACCACTCAATCTCACACACTTTCCCAAGCCCACACACACCACGGCCCCAACCCACCACCACTCTCCCACTCTCCTCCTCAAAACCACTCACATTGTCCACAGTGACCCTCGATATAATCCTCTCGTTATCCGCGAAAATCGCCATGATCGTGCCCGAGGTATAGATCTCATTCCCGACCAGCTGGTCCAGCAGCGGCACGTACGGCGCTAGCTGGTCCTGCCCGGGCCTGAACTGCTGGCACGCGGCTTGCAGGAAGCGGTTCATGAGCTTGCAGAGGCGGCGCAGGTCGAATCCCTCGAAGAAGGTGTCGCAGTCGCTGAGGCAGCGCTGCGGCAGGCCCTTGCTGATGAGGAGGATCTGCAGCACGGAGACGACCACTGCTAGCACCTTCTGCTCGCTCACGAAGACCTGGAGTAAGGGAATAGGGGGTGGGGGAGGGGGGAGGGGGAGCGGGAAGGGGGAAGGGGGGAATTACGCGATTTTAGATGCAGGCCCTTGCTGATGAGGAGGATTTGGAGCACGGAGACGACCACTGCTAGCACCTTCTGCTCGCTCACAAAGACCTTGAGACGCGGGAGGATGGGGAGGGAGGGGGGGAGGAGAGGAGGAGGGGGAAGGGAGACAGTTTGACAATGTGTCGACTCAAAAGTAAGGCCCTTGCTGATGAGGAGGATCTGCAGGACGGAGACGACCACTGCTAATACCTACTACTGCTAGCACCTTCTGCTCGCTCACAAAAACCTTGAGACGGGGAATAGGGGGTGGGGGAGGGGGAGGGGGAGGGGGAAGGGGGGAAGAGGGAGGATTTGGTTTTAGATGCAGGCCCTTGCTGATGAGGAGGATTTGGAGCACGGAGACGAGACGACCACTGCTAGCACCTTCTGCTCGCTCACAAAGACCTTGAGACGGGGAGAGAAGGGGAAGAGGGGAGATGGTGGGAGAGGGAGGGAGAGGGATGGGAGGGAGAGAGTGTAAGGGGGGGGGACGGACCGGGGAGGGAGAACGTGGGAGAGTTGGAAATACAGTGCAGAGGGCAGGTTGATTGGACCAAGGAATGTGCGGAAAGAGAGTGGAGAGAGCAGGCAGCGGGGACATGTGATTGGATGAGCGCTAAAAATCACCACCAACCCGAACGAAAAAAGTAACCCCAGAAAAAAAAAAAGGGTATGGGCGGCAGGCAGCACCATCACACCTCGTACGGCCGGTTAGGCACGCGCACCTGGTATGTGCGATTTGGAGGGCCCCTGAGGTTGAGCACATCTGGCATGTCCGAGATAACCAGGCAGCGAATCAGCCGCTGTAGCTCCTCTGCCACCACTGGGCTGAAACAGGCGCAGGGAGGAACGAAGCGGAGAAATAGGGAAGTAAAATGGGTGTTTTTTTTTTTTTTTTTTTTTAGACCTTTTGAGGCGGATAGGAGCGAAGGGAAGAACAACGCGAAGGAAAATAGTCGGGATTTGACCAGGTTTCGTACAGGAGGTGGTTTGCGGAATGACGGGAAGGGAGACAGGATTTTCGGGCATTAGACAGGTATCAAGGACAAGGGTATATAAAGGGTAGAGAAAATACAGGTGCACAGACAAGTGCACAGACAGGTGCGAAGACAAATGCAGAGAATAGTGCAGAGAAAGGTGAGCAGACAACTGGGTATGATCCGCTTACCCATACTTGAAGAGCACTTGAATGAGGCCGCTAGTGCGGATGCTGCAGGCAGGAAACATGGAAACGGGGGAACGTGCGGGAAGGGGGATGTGCAGAGGGGTTCATGATGGGCAAGAACGCAAAGCGCGCATCTGAATTTGTACCACACGAAATCGCATAGCCATCGTACTCCTCCTTGCTTAAAATCCTACCATCGTACATGCCTCCAAGCAAGGAGTCATCATCATCAGCGTGCGTGCGTGCGTGCGGCAAGCGTTGCTGCACACACATGGCACCTACCATCTGAGTTGAGCAGCTACTTTGAGCGCTGCATGCATGCATAGTAAACAAAGGAGTGCTTAGCATTACCAGGCATGACCTCTCTCCATGCACAGTGAGCCAAGGCATGGAATGGAATGTCCTGCATGCCTGCTGCAAGTGCAACGTACCTAGCCTTGAGCAGAGCAGAGCACCTCATCATCCGTGCAGTCGTCTATGGGGTCTATCTCCTCCAGCGCCACTTTTGAGGCGCTCAAAAGATGTACTGCACGCATGCACACTGCATGGACTGCAAGGAAGTACTGCAACACGGCAACATACCTGGCCTTGAGCACCTCATCATCCGTGCAGTCGTCTATGGGGTCGATCTCGTCCAACGCCAGCACAAAGTTCTGCTTTGAGGTGCCTCAAACATCATGTGTCGTGCATGCATCGTGCAGTGCAACACACCTGGCCTTGAGCACCTCGTCGTCCGTACAATCATCTATGGGGTCTATCTCGTCCAACGCCAGCACAAAGTTCTTCAGACATCGCGTGGAGTCACTCTCCTGTGTGTTGGAGGGAGGAGGGCGAACGATAGGGGGAAGGAGGAGAAGATAGATGGGGAGAGAGAGGGAATAAATAAATCCAAGGATATGGGACCGTGAGGGGAAGAATGAGAAAAGTAGGAGCGAGGGCAAGAGGAAAGAAGAGAGGAGAGAAGAACAGTGAGAAAGGGAGCAAAGAGGAACGGAGGGGAGTGCACAAGAACTAATGGCAACTGCTGCAACTTACTGTAAGGATGAGGTTGACTGCAGCTGGAGGAGCACCCTCAAACACAAGCGCATCCTGTTGTGTAGTGTGCGAGATGCGATGGTAACAACATCGTGAGCACAACACAGCGACAGAGCACAACAACAGAGCACAGCAACCGACCAAACCAAACACACAGAGAGAGGAAACGGGGAGCATGGGTTCTGAGGAGGAAGCATTGAGCTAGAGTACGCTTCCTCTGAACCTCCAACCCTCCCCAGCGGCTGAATTCTTCAACCAAGAAATAGAATAAGCAGAAACGCCTGGGGTTCAGGCCCCTGCCAGCTCCCTACAACCCCCATGTCCCCCCGCTCCCCCATAAATCCATCCACCTCCCCCACCCTCTCCCCCACAATACTATCCGCCGCCCTTCCTCCGAAGGTAAATAGCATACCTTCTGGTCCCCCCCGACCCTGCAAAGTACGGAACACACACCTTCTGGTCCCACACTGATGTGAGCCCAGCAGGACGCCTCCCCATCAGCGCCTCCTCCTCATCCTCCTCGCCCCCGTCCCCATCCCCATCCCCATCCACGCACGCTCCAGACGCAAACCCCGAAGACACACCAGCAGCAGCCGCCGCCGACGCAGCACCAACTGCACCAACCGCCGCAGCAGCAGCAGCGGCAGAGAACGACGAGGCAAAGGACAGCGAGCCTACTGCACCGGGAGAGGCCCAGCGAGCTTTGTAATAGTCCCCACTGCCGCCTGACATGAAGCCGTGCACGCCGTGGCACTGAATGAGCGTGTGATAGGGTATCACGTGCCTCTCTGTGCCCTGCCCCACTGCCCCTATCCTCCACACGGTACCTGGCTTCTTGTATAGCTCTGTCACTCCCACCATGCCCCTGTGTGATTGTAAGAAGAGGGATTGTAGAGGGTGGATAGAGTGAGGTCCGGTGCCAGGTATGGCACATTCTGAATGGACCCACATGCTTTTGTCATCCGCTTCGCCTTTTGCATCACTCTGGAGACTGGAACGCCCACTGTGCCTCTGATGGCGAAAGAGGTTTACCTGAGAATTCTCCACCACTGAAACAGATGAGATGCCGTCTAGCTGCACTTGCTCTCAGCCACACCACGCCTGGAGTGTATTCGAGCCCATTTGAAGCAATTAACTTACCAAAACATCTTCGGGCCTCCACCCTGTCCCATCCGTCCTTGCCTGCAACCCACCCAGAGTCCTCCACCATCCCCCCATGCACCCATGCACGCAGCACTTACCTGAAATCCTCTCCACGCATGTCGAGGCAAGTATTGGACTGCAGCAGTCGCCTGGACTCCAGGTACAGCCCTGTCGCCAGGTGCTTCAAGTGGAATTGCTGCCTCGCACCACACCGCATACATGGGTGGGCGGGGCAGAGGGGTTGGGGAAGAGGGGATAGCATGGGCGCACAGACTCATGGGTCCATGGGTTCGTTCATGGGTTCGTTCATGGGTTTGTTCATGGGTTTGGCAGGGGGAGGAGAGGGAGAAACGGCAATCCTTGGAAGATCTGGATTATTGTGGTTCCAATACCAGCCCTTCTCGAACAAGGCTCTTTTCATCAAAGGGCCTAGGACTTTAGGAAGGACTTACAGTTCAGGTGGAAAGCCTGGTCATTGGGAACCAAGGGGCAGTGACAAAAAGGGAAGCGGGGACGGGAGCAGAAGGCAGTTGGGAGGGGTGGGGGCGGGCAGAGCAACATCAGCAGAATACTTGTTATGTTGCTTATGACACACTGCTGCTCCACTGAAGCAAAGGGGCCTGCAGTCTTGCCAGTGACCAGTTTAGGAAGGACTTACAGTTCAGGTGGAAAGCCTGGTCATTGGGAACCAAGGGGCAGTGACAAAAAGGGAAGCGGGGACGGGAGCAGAAGGCAGTTGGGAGGGGTGGGGGCGGGCAGAGCAACATCAGCAGAATACTTGTTATGTTGCTTATGACACACTGCTGCTCCACTGAAGCAAAGGGGCCTGCAGTCTTGCCAGTGAGGATAATGGATTTAGCCCTTTCTTCCCACCCCAACCCCCATCCGTCACCCCACCCCCCACACCCTTTCCCTCCCTGCCAAACCCCACCCAGCCCCACCCCTCCCCCTCCCTCTCCTCCCCCTCCTCCCCTCTTCCTCACCTGGTCTCCAGAGGCGAATCGCCCGCCCCATTCAACAGTGAGAGGCTGAAGGCGCCAGAGAGCATTGGAGCTGACTCTCCCCCCGGGCTCGATCTGGCCGCGCGCTTCAAAGAACACCTGCCCTTCATCGCACACTAGGTGCATCTCACTCGCCCTGTGCGTCACCACCACTGCATCGCCGCCTCTCAGCAGGTGCCGGGCGTTCAGTAGCTTGCTCTCGTGCAGTGCGTAGGGTATGAGCTTCCACCGCCCCACCTCTGGCCCTGCGTTCACCTGCACACACGCACACGCGCATGTACACACGCACACGCACGCACACACACACACACACACACACACACACACGTGGAGGATTGTTGAGGCGCTTCAAACATTGAGCTTCCACTGTCCCATCTCTCTTTAGTCACAGACATAGGGATCTCAGCCTGATGCTTGAGTCGACTCAAGAAGCCAGGAGGTTCATGCTTCCAGCACCCCACTATGGTCGATCACATAGACATGGCAGCCAGCCTGGCCTGATTCTTGTGTCAACTTAGAAAGCCAGGTGGCTCATTTTTATAGCACCTCACTAACCCCCTCGCCTCCTCCTGTGCTCACTTATCTAGAATCGATGACACAGAGATGGCAACTTGATTTCTTTTACCAGCCCGAACAGCCAGGTGGTTCATCCTGCTTCCAGCACCCCAGTAGCCCCTTCTCCCTACTCCTGTGCTCACCTCCCTAGAGTCAATGACATAGGGATGGCAGCCTGACACTGTGACATCAAAGGACGCATCAGAGAGCCGCAACCTGTGGGGGAGGTGCGTGGAGGGAAGGGGGCGTGACGGGAAACGGATGGATATTGGAAAAGGAACGAGCAGGGTTGAACAGGTGCAGAGACAGGAGGAGGATGGAAGCAGGAAAAGGGATTAAGGGAAAGGATGTTGGAGGCGGAAGGGAGGGAAAGTCCATAATGAAGGGCAAAAGAAGGCGGTTCAAAATGAAGGTTTGTTTGTGCTACCCGGCTCCTACACTGCGATGCTCCTTGAGGTGTTTCATGCAAGCAAGAACAACAGAACATAACTTTCCTATCCCTATCAGCTCTATCCATTTCGGCCTTTGCGGGGACGACCTCCTACCCTCTCTCCTAAGCCCTCTCTCCTTGCCCACCGTTGCGTTACCCGGCTCCAGAGAACTTGACACTCATGAACGTTGCTGCGTCCCCAAATGCCACATGCTCGCCCTCCCGCTGGTGTGCCCCAAGGGTTGCAAGAGGGGGGAGTGGTGGAAAGGAAATCAGATGAGGAGTGGCGTGGAGTGGGACCAGATGCAGGGTCGAGTGAGGCAAATGTCCGGCTACTGCTGCACTGCAAATGTCAAGCCAAACTACTGCCCAGCCGCACCCTGGTTTTCTACGCGTGAGTGGCAGCGAAACAGGACCCCACTCTCGAATGCATTCCTGCACCTTGATTTTGTATGCGGGCGTGACAGTGAACCAGGAGCCCATGTCGCCGCCTGATGACTTTTGAGTCGAATCAAAGGTAATCTGAGGCGCATCGAAACAAGTGCCTGCCTGCGCTGCACGCACCTTGATTTTGTACGCGGGCGTGACGGTGAACCAGGAGCCTATGTCGCCGCCTGATGACTTTTGAGTAGACTCAAAGGTAATCTGAGGCGCATCGAAACAAGTGCCTGCCTGCGCTGCGCGCAACTTGATTTTGTACGCGGGCGTGACGGTGAACCAGGAGCCTATGTCGCCGCCTGATGAGTTTTGAGTAGACTCAAAGGTAATCTGAGGCGCATCGAAACAAGTGCCTGCCTGCCCTGCGCGCACCTTGATTTTGTACGCGGGCGTGACGGTGAACCAGGAGCCTATGTCGCCGCCTGATGACTTTTGAGTAGACTCAATGGTAATCTGAGGCGCATCGAAAACAAGTGCCTGCCCTGCCCTGCGCGCACCTTGATTTTGTACGCGGGCGTGACAGTGAACCAGGAGCCCATGTCGCCGCGCCTCTGCAGGACGACCTTGAGGTGCGACTTCTCCAGCTCTGACTGTGTGCGCTTGACACTCACGAACTTGCCGCTGCTCACGTGGAACAGCTGCACCACGTGCCCGTACAGCACCGGGCTGCCCACCGACCGCAGAAACTCAGCTGAGTAGTGGAGCAGGGGGGGGAGGAGGAAGAGGGGGAGGGGGGAAAGGGGAGGGAAGGGGAACAGGTGGGAAGGGGAGCAGGGGGGGACGGGAAAGGGGGGGGAGGGGAGTGGGGGGGGGAGGGGGAAAGGGGGAGCAGGGAACGGGGAACGGGTCGAAGAGCTGAGGGTCTTGGGAGCAAGGAAACGGGAGCAAGCAGGGTCTAGATGGTTGTGTTGTGAGTGCCAGGGAAATGGTGGCTGCTGAACTGAAACATGCGAATTTTTGGAGTGGGTCAATGAGCAAGGGACCATTGGAGGGACGAGCGAAGCTCACCATTGTTGAAAGCTTGCTCTGCCTTTTGAAGGCTCTCACTCTAATGGACACGGAGCAAAGCGGACGGAGGGGGGAGAAACAGAGAATAAATTCAATAAAGAAGGGGGTGGATAGGAGGTATCAAGAAGGCCATGATATGCAGGGAGAGAAGGCTGCGAGTGAGTCAATCCGAACCGAACATAGAAGAGTTATCAGGAATATAGAACGAGGTAGCAACACAACAGAGATGCCTCTCCATTCCTGCCATGCCTCCCACTCGACTCGATGCAGTGCAGCGTCCCCCAGCCATACACTGCAACGACTATCAGGAACCCTCACTTCTTGCGCAACGTCCCTCAACTCAGAACCAAGCCTCTCACAATCACTCCAGCAAGCCCGACACCCTGCTCTGCTCTGCTCTGCTCTGCTCTGCTCCCTGAATACTGTACCTCGCTGCTTGTCTGAGCAGCAACACCACCTCCAGAGGAGAAGCTGTATCCGCCTGGGGCTGGGGAGCTATCAACCCCTTCCTTCTTCTGCTTGTGAGACGAGTACTGGTACTTGATACGGACCTGCCACGTGGAAAATCCCACCGTAGCGAATGTTAGCGATACACAGAAATGGAAAGCAATCGCGAGACAAGACAGTTTTGTGTGTGAGCAAGCCATGCCACAATCCCTGCCAGTGTGCCGATTACTTACCAGGTAACCTGGAAAACTAGTTCATGTTCAGCATAACCTCGGGATCATACGAATAAGTTCATGGTATTATCATGAGCTCATCGATATTGTCGTTGCGATCACCATAGTCGTTGCGGACTCATTGTGAGTAACCGTCGTGCTCCTTCGATACGGGATGTGATACGCTGTTGTATTCCACGCTACCAAACGTACGCAATCATCCATAGGTCCTTAATCCCGAGAGCGAGAGATGGTGTAATGAGATAGATACACATCACTCCTAGGCATTGCTATCGCATTGCTATCATGTACCTCGAATTTACAGAAATCCAGGTTAGGTGGAACCTCAGTGCCATCGTCCAGAATCTCGAACCGGACACGCTCGTCGATGAGGCCTGACGACGACAAGAGACCGTTCAACTCGATTCCCGCCAAACACACGGTGTCGCCGTATGTCAGCTTTTCGCCTGACATCTCCACGCGAACTCTGACGCGGAACCAGGTTGTCAGTAGTAAGGTGATCGCGATTAGACGGCCTCATTAACGCCGTGTGAACATCCGGGGTCCTGAAGCTGGTATCTTGACAGTTCTGGGGTGAATAAGTCTGTATTGAAACTACCGACTGATCCTCCTGTGACCTATGTTGGCTTTGAATTCTCCCCCCACGCGATTCGATCAGTGTCGTCGTCGCTATGGTTTGGTTGCCTCCCTCCCTTCTATCGCATTGACCCTGTGTGACGTGACACTGCTGATTCTTGTACTCCTTTTGTTCCGTTTTGAGCCTTCTCACTTGCACTGGGGGAGGTGTCCACCGTATCTCACTTCCTCTAGAATGCCGAAACTGGTATTGAGATTATCTGCAACGTAATGTACGAAAGGATAATTGGTCCTTGTGAAGTCATAAAGGCTAGAAAACAAAATTGTAATCTCCCGAGCAAAAAAAAAAAAATGTATTGGATGCTATGAGGGACTATGTGACTCCATAACAGGAACTGCATAACGAGAAATTGCAATTTATCTTTACATCCAAAATATACTCCCCCAATACTTGTTAGACTTAAACCCAGGACCCCAACCTCTACCCAACCAGAGGCTAAGAATGTTTGTTGCTAGTAGTTACTAGTATATAGGACCAAAGCTAGTGGTGCAGGAGCTGATGCTACAAGCCTCTCACAAAAGAATTTTCCTTGTGAGGAGTTCAAGGCTGATCTGGCGCCAGCGTGATCTAGCAAATCAGAGCACAGACAAGACAGCGCTGGCACGAAATGCAGGGGCAACGGGGTCACACGCGCTTCACCCGCCAATCAAAACCTTCCTTGTTTGGGTCACCCACCCATACTTTTTTGCCCTGCTGTACGGTGACACGCTGGCAGCAACATCGTCAAGATCCCCGGGCCCCGGCCCTGCGATGCGATGACGACAACGGGTCATGTAATGACGTGCTTCCGGAGAGCTACGATTGGTTCCTGCCCCCTTGATATCCGTGTACGACGTCGTAACGCTGGCTTTTCACGTCGCATCGCAGGTAAAGGAAAGTTGCGTCGTCGACATACAGTACTGGCCCCACTGCCAACCAAGCCACCGTCTGTTTCACAACTACCACACCACACCACAGCACACATCGGGAATATCCCCGCCGCCATCACATCAAGAATTGGCCCAGCTATGTTGGAACAACACTTATTGTCGCATCGCTACGGACTGCAGGGGTTTTCTTTCCAATCGTCTGCTTAGACCACGCAATAGATAGCCTTTAACTCCCTTCTTGTCGGCCTAGTATTCGCGCTTCGTGCTGAAAAAAGCCTCGTCGGTGAGAAGAGACAGATGACAACGTCAACTCGTCAATGGCGACCAGCAGTATCCGCAAGGTCAGGGAATGTAGAAGCTTAGACGACGTATATGAAATTTTATGGTGCTCTCGTTTTTTCGTCATTATAAGGCGTTCCAAGAGCAGCATGCAAGCTAATGACTAAAGCAAGCATGCGTGCCCGGCATTTGTTTTTCTTTTACTGGTCTCGGACCATTCTCCATTACGCAAACCCCAAACGCATGCTCCCCAACCCGTCATATCCTGCCGTTCTGACATTTTCTCCTCGTTTTCTCGTTTCCCGGCTCGCCTGTTTTCCCAAATCTTCCCGTCATCCCGTGTTCCCTTGTCCTCCTGTCCCCTGCATCAGGCCCGGAACAGCCTCACACCGTCTTCCGCGCTAAATCAACATCGTGAGCCTCTTCACATCCCATATCACCTCTCCGCTCTCGTTACAGTGTCGCAACCTCTTACGCAACGTCCGCGGAACCTTGCGTAGGGCGTTGCGACTCAGCCGCTGCGAGGCTCGGGTCAGCCGTTCGTTTGGGCTTTAAGGGGGTGGGTTGCTATTGCGTCACATGACGCCGTCCGCTAAGGGTAGGAGTGAGGGCCAGTCGTGGCCGCCACCAGATATCGCCTCCACCAATCCCACCAGCGTCACCACCAACACCACCAGCACCAACAGCAGCAGCAGCACCAACAGCAGCGGCACCAGCAACAGCAGCAGCAGCAGCAGCAGCACCAGCAGCACCAGCAGCAGCAGCGTAAACAGCAGCAGCGGCACCATTCCGGCTACCTCCACCCCCACTGACCCGGCACCGCCGGTGTCCGTGCGGCCGGATGTGACGGCGGTAAACGCGGAGGTCCGGACACACTCCAGAGATGGCGAATGGAATATAATTCGCCCTGTCGTCAATAAAAGTCTCTCCGAAACTCTCTCCGACCATCTTGGTACCGAGCCCGAGGTAGCTAATAATATCGTAATGGCGCTTCGGGGTGATTTTACCTCCATCGCGTTGCAGGCTCGTACGGATGTAGCGGGTGTGGATGAATCAGACGATGCCACGTGTCCCATCTCGAGATTGCCGGATGACGTGCTGCATTACATCTTCTTCCTGGTTCAGCGTCATAACTCCGTGCAGCCTCCCTTCCATTCCATGCTCTGCCCTCGCTCGCACTACCACTCTCCCTCCCACTCTCACTCCCACTCCCACGCGCACGCCCACTCTCACACCCATTCTCACTCCCACTCTCACACCCACACTCATTCCTACTCCCAGTCTTTCTCTCGTTCCCAGCTTCCCTCTCACTCCGCCCCATGCTGCTGCTGTTGCGCGTTCCTCTCCTGCCCCCTTCCCCCTCCCCCTTCCCTCGCGCACGCGCTCGTTTGTCGCGCCTGGCTTCCCCTTGCCTGCCAATCTCTCGTTTCCGCCTGCCTTCCCGCCGGCGCGGGGCTCCCCCTGCGCGCGGTGCTCCGCCTGCTCCGCCAGTGCGCGGAACTCCGCAGCCTAACAATCCCCCCGGGGAGCGTTGTATGGCGGCGGAAGGAAGGAAAGCGGTGTAAGGACGGGGCAGCGTCAGGGGCAGGCGGAGTGGGCAGGGGAAAGGGAGGAGCGGCGGGAGGAGGCAGAGGGGAAAGGGGAGGAGGCTGGGCGGAGCGGAAATCAGGGTGGCACAGGGTAGGGGAAGCAGGGGAAGACGATACCGACGCAGTTACTCTTGTAGGTACGGGGGATGGATTCAATACTGAAGCACCAGCAGCAGGAGGGGGAGTCGCAGCAGTCACGGCAGTCGCGTATAGAGAAGCAGGAAGCGGAACAGGCGGAAGAGAAGGGGGACAATGGCGTATCGGGGGAGAGCTTGGTGGAAATACGAGTAGAGACGACAGGGTGCGATGGGGAGGCGAGCAGGCGTGGGGGGAGCATGGGCATGGGGGCAATGGGGGGCACGGGGAGGAGAGCGGGGTGTGGTTGGGTAACGCCAAGCTTACCCCTCGCATCTCTCCCCCTCACCAGAGTTTACCCCAGACTGCACACACAGACCCGTGGTGTTCTTACCCACCTAACCCTAACCCTAACCCTAACCCTAACCTTAACCCTATTCCGTACCCTGACCATAAGCTGAACCCTAGCCCAGTCACTCCCCTCTCGCTTTCCTCTCCCTCCTCGTCCAGTGCATGCGTCTCGTTCCGATTCTCCCTTCCGCCTCGACCATCTCCCAACACGCATGGTAGCCCGTGCAGCCACCCGTCCCCTTCTTCCCCTTCTCCCTTTTCCCCTTCTTTTTCCCCGCCTTTTTCTTCGCCCCTCGCTTCTCCTTCTTCTTTTTGTCCCGCTTCTCCTCCGTTCTCCCCTTCCTCGCCTCCCTCGTCCTTCTTCCCTCCTCCTGATCCTCTCGCATCCTGCTCTGTTGCCTCTCCCCTGCATACGCCCCTGACGGATCATCAAAGTCGGAATCAAATCTGCAGCCACAGCACCAGGCATAACCCCCATCACAAGCACCATCACAAGCACCAGCACCACCACCACCACCATACTCCCCGAGACAGCCTAGACCTATTCTTCTCTCGCATATCCTCCCTGCCTCTCCTCTCCCACCTCTCCCTCCTCTCCCTCCCTCCCACGTCCCTCACGCTGCCCGATTCCATCTCGAACCTCTCCTCGCTGCGCGTTCTCCGTCTCGGGCAGCTCGCACGGGCAGCAGCGGAAGAAATTTCCGGCGGTGTCCCTTTCAGCAGCAGTGAAGCAACGACTTTTGACCTGGTGGCGCCAACAACTCTCCTGTCGCCCCACCAGCCAAACAGCAGCAGCAGCAGGGGCAGCGGCGGCAGCGGCAGCGGCAGTGACAGCAGTAGCAGCAGCAGCAGTGGTGACAGCGATTCTCATCTTGTGTTTTTGCCTGAAGCTTTGGGCATGCTGACAGGCCTAGAGGAGTTGTCTGTAGGCAGTGATTCTCTGGAGTTCCTTCCTGACTCCTTTCAACGCCTTGCATCGCTGCGCTGCCTCTCCATCTCCTCCCCCATGCTTTCTTCAGCCCGTTTTCTTGCACCTGAACCATCACCACCGCTTTCACCGGAAACCGCAACAGCAGCAGCAACAGAAGCAGCAGCAGCAGGAACAGGAGCAGCAGAATCCAGGAAAGCAGTGAATCACCCCCCATGCAATCCCAGTCCTCCCACATTCCCACACCTCTCCACACTCTACCTCGACACACCAAGCCTGATTTCTCTTCCTGATGAAATTGCTCTCAGCTGCCCGTCCATCAAATCCCTCCATTTGGTTAACTGCCAAAACATTTTCCACCTGCCCGCCACCATGCACCAGTTGTCCCAACTGGAGCGGCTGGAACTCCTCAACTGCACAGGAATTTCCTACCTGCCCAGCAACTTGGGTAGCCTGGAACGTCTCAAATGGCTGGCTTTGGGATGTCCAAATGTTTTGACGCTGCCCGATTCCCTTGGATTGCTGACCGAGCTACGCCACTTTTTCCTCCTCTCCTCAGGCTGCTCCCGGCTGCCTACAAATTTTGGGCAGAAACTGACAAAACTGAAAACACTGGCTCTTTCCAAATGCAGGGACTTGCTTGAGCTGCCCGCACACCTCGGGCAGCTGGAGAAACTCAAAACCCTCTTCATTTCTGACTGCTGGCGGTTGCAGCGGCTGCCCAAGGGGTTTTTCTCCCTGCCCATGCTGCGGACCCTAATCATCTACCAATGCGACGCACTCAACATTAAAGCCGAAACTTTTGACCACTGCCCGCAGCTGCGCTTCCTGAGCCTTGAATTCTGCCCGTCCCTACCTGGCCTTCTCCAGTCAATCATGAGCCTGCCTTTTCTTTCAAGGCTCCGCCTCCGTCCCTTCAAACACTCAAACCTCCACGATAGAAGTATCTTCTGCCATCTCTCTGTGCTTGATCTTGCACATTTTCAAGGGCTGCCCGAAAATTTGTGTGCTCTTACTGGTCTTCGGGCGCTCCATTTGAGCGACGTGACCAAGATTTCGCACTTGCCGCCCGAATTCAACCAGCTGGCGTCGCTCAAAGTTTTGACGTTCGAGTTTTGCGACATTGTCGTGCTGCCCGCGGACTTCGGGCAGCTGAAACACCTTGAGCTGCTGAGTTTTCAGGAGTGCCCGCACTTGAAGTCTTTCGGGCAGTCATTCGGATTGCTACCTAATCTTGCTATTCTCATAGCCTCCAAGTGCCCTTCGCTCCTCTCCCTGCCCCAAAACATTGGGAAACTGCGCTCGCTGTGCAAGCTTGTTATTTCAGACTGCCCGAACTTGCGGGGGCTGCCAATGTCCTTCAGCTCCTTGACCAACCTCGTGCTTTTGAAGCTGCCCGAGGGAGATGACGTAAAGCTGCCCGAAAGCCTTTCTCACTTGACAGCACTGCAACAGCAGCAGCAGCAGCAGCAGCATCAAGAAAGGAATGGGGGGGAAGGGGAATGGGAATCAACAAGTTTTCTACATTCCTTGCAGGCACAGGAGGGATGTGGGGGCGGAGGGGGAGGGGGAGGGGGAGGGGGAGGGGGGAGGGGGAGGAAGAGGAGGAGGAGGGGTTGGGGAGAGCAGTGGGCAGGGAGGGAGTGCAAGCTTTCTTCACTTGCGCAAGTGGCTTGTACGTGCTGCTCTCCGCTCTCACTCACACCCTTGCATGGTCTCGCCCTTGGTCACTCTTTCTGTCAAGCCTTCTGCGATTTCTTCTGTCACTCGTATCACTCCCTTGCCCTCTCCTGTGACCTTGAATGCCCTCTTCCTTATCACTCTGTGCTCACTGGTTCTCCTGTCCTGTCCGCTTCTCGTCTGCCTGTCTGTGGTGAGTGCTTGCCCTTTTTGTTTGACAAGTGATTTCATGCTGCTTGCTGTTCTTCTTGCATTCAAGCCGTACCACGCCATGCCGTGCCATCCCATCACATCCCAAGCCATCCCATCGAATCCCATCTAATTTCATGCCATCCCTCCCCGTGCGATTGTGCATGCAGGAATTCAGTTCAATGGAACGGACAATGAAGCGATTCGAGGAAGCATTTGACTCTGACTCATGACACATACATGACTCCTCACATGTTACATGTTACCCCACACAAGGCCACGCTACATGTGTGCATGTGCGTGCGACTTTTGAGGCGCCTCAAAAGAATTGCTTTGAAGGCATTCAGCTCTGACTCATGACACATGCATGACTCCTCACATGTGACATGTTACCCCCCACAGGCCAACACTCAAGTGCACGCGCGCGCGCCCGCGCACGCACATACGCGCATGCATACACATCTGCCATTTGCTTAGGCACTTTTTACTGCTTCAACTTACGGCACATGACACTGCCGCATACACTGATGATTCTGAAAACTAACCTTCAATCGACATACGGTACCGTTCACAGTAAACCTTGTTGGGTGTGCGTTTCAATATCTGACCTGGTGCCTCCAGAGTCCAGACCGGATACTTTTACTAGTGACCCCTTCCATATGCATGCACATGCCAGCTGTTGACGACAGTCAGACTGATGAGCTTGGGCTCGGTTGGGAATGGGAAGTCTTTTTGCCCCAGGTGATTCACTGAAAACTACGATGTCAATGTTTAATAACCGAGTATGATAGTACTGGGTCTTGCATGTTCTACGTGCTTTTATATACTAGGTGTTACATGTTGCAAGATTTGCAATAGTAGTCATACAATAACTGCTACCGTATTACAGTACAAAGGATACCGTAGCTGCAAAGTAACTACATCATAGAGCCTGGCCGGGGGTTGTTGAAGCCCACCTTAGAACTACGGTACCATCACTGCATAATTGTGTGCTCCAAAAGAACACGAGTTATCTCTCCCACGTCAACTGTACCGAGCAGCTCTAACGGAGCACTCAATAAAGGAGCAATCACACTCTCTGCAGCAGCAGCAGGGGATACACTCGGCGACGATGCAACAGCCTCCAGCACACCACCAACTGCAGGAGACGAAGCAGCAGCAGCAGAAGCAGAAGCTGCAACATCTGTTGCCGCTGCCACCGTTGCTGCCACCGCCGATGCTCCAGCCGTCGCCGCCACTGCTGCTGCCGCTCCAGCAGCTCCTGCTGCTTCAGCCATCCCCATCACACCCACTCCCATTGCAGCAACTGCAGCTGCCACACCCCCCAAAGCCCCTGCTGCCGCATCTGGCACGTGAGCAATCCTGGTTGCAGCGTCAGCAGCAGTATCGGCAGCAGAGCCGACAGCAGCAGCAGCAGATGACGCGACTACACCTCCCACGACCGCCGTTGCTGTTGTTGCTGCCGATGCTGCTCCTTCCACAGCATACATCACACCTGCTGCTGCAACAGCTGCAACAGAGGCAATGTCTCCAATTCCCCCGCCTCCTCCTCCCACTCCTCCCCCTGCTCCTGCTCCTGCTGCTGCCACTGTTGCAGCAGCAGAAGCAGCAGAAGCAGCAGAAGCGGCAGAGGCAGCAGAAGCAGCAGCTACAGAAGTCGATGCAGCAGGGGACGCAGCAGAGGAAGCAGCAGCAGAGGCAGCAGAGACTAAGGCAGACGAGGCATGGAGCTTCACTGTTAGAGCATCAGCACCAGCCGAATGGGGAGGAACAAGGGGAGCGTGAGCAGCAAGCTTGGATACAGAAATGGCCGTGTGAGAGAGTGGGTCCACGGGGGAAGAGAGCAGGGAATGCGCAGTGGTATCAGCCGGTGCAGAGGTAGCGGCAGGGGTAGCAGTAGCAGCAGCAGCAGGGGTGCTGGTGGCAGCGGCGGCGGTGGTGGTGGTGGAGGTGGTAGAGCTGGTAGTGGTGGCTGGGGATGCTGCTGCTGCCGCTGCTGCTGCTGTCACACCGCTCTGCATCCCTGCACTCGCACCTGCCGCTTCTCCTGCTTGCATCGACCCAGGCACGAGCACCGGGGAAGTGGTGAGAGCAGGCGGAGTGGCGGGAGCAGTGACCGGAGTGACAGGAGGAGCGGGAGCAGGAGTGGTGGGAATGGTGGGAGTAACTCCGTCCGCTGCAGCGATCGTTGCCGACGACGGAGCACCCAGAGGCGCAAGGGGAGGGGGAGGAGAGCCCGCGGACACAGCAGGGGCAGTAGCAGCAGCAGCAGGAGGAGCAGGAGCAGCAGGAGTGGGAGGAGCAGAGAAACTGGCCGATACAGTGGCATCCGGGACAGGGACTGTGGCAGGGGAGGCGGTGGTGGTGGTGGCAGGGGGAGGGGCTGAAGTGGCTGCGGTGGCAGCTGCGTTGACGTGCAGTTCTGGTGTGTTCATGGGCTGGAGAGAGGTGGAGGTGGAGGAGGAAGAGAGGGAGGATGAAGAGGAGGCGAAACCAGAGACTGCACACATGCCTCCGCCTCCTCCTGCTCCTGCACTGTCGGCAGTAATAACAGCACCCGCACCAGCAGCACCTGCACCCGCACCAGCAGCACCAGCAGAACCAGCACCAGCAGGAACAGCAGCACCACCAGAAGCAGCAGCAGAACCTGTGGCACCAGTGCCGGCACCACCAGCACCAGCGGCACCGGCAACACCAGCCGTTGCACCAGCAGTGGCAGCACCAGGAGCGCTTGCACCAGCAGGCGTGACAGCGTGCAGGGCTTCTATGCCTCCCGAAGGGTGAGGGGCAGATAACGAAGCACCAGCAGCGGCTTTTGTAGCAGCAGTAGCACCGGGGCTAGTGGTAGCAGAATTAGCAATGGAGGCAGTGGCGTCAGCATGCTTGGCAGCAGCACTAGAAACAGAAGAAGCAACGCTGGTCGGGACGGGAGTATGAGCGGTAACGGGTGACGATGCAGCGGCGGGTGTGTGTGGACCAGAAGTCAAGGCATTCAAGGAAGACGAGGCGGAGGAAGAGGAGGAGGAGGAGGAGAAGGAGAAGGAAGTGGGTGAAGTAGAGAGGGCAGGAGGAGCAGGGACCTTAGCAGCGATCCCCTTCCAACCGGCACCTCCGGCAGCAGCAGAAGCAGCAGCAGCAGTAGAGGCCCCTGGGGATGGCAGCGTTGCAAGTGACGGAAAGGAGGCAGCAGCAGACAAGGCCGAAGAGGCAGGAGGGACGGAGGAGGCAGAGGAGGAGAAGAAGTGGGAAAAGGAAGGGAGAGAGGGGAAGGGGGGGAGGGTGGGAAGCGAGGGGAGCGCGAGAGCAAGAGTCTTGGTGGCTCCCAGCTTGGCTTTGAGTTTCAGCAGCACGTGTTTCGCTTGGGCTGCGTAGAAAGGGAACTTGAGCTGGGATGTCAGTAGCGCCGCCAACAGCTGCTCGCTCTTCTCCCCTCCCTTCTCTCCCTCCTCCTCCTCCTCCCCACCCTCCGCTTCAACTTTCCCCTCCTCCTCCTCCTCCTCTTCTGCATCTTCCGCTTCCTCCCACTCCTCGGCCTCCTCCTCCTCCTGTTCGTCCTCCCTAGCCATCTCGGAGGCACCTCTACTCCGGGACAGAATCGAATCCCACGCCTTCTTCCATTTCAACCCCACTGCCTTCCCGCCAACCTCCTTCTCTCCCCTCTCTCCTTTCTCTCCTTTCTCTCCTTTCTCTCCTTTCTCTCCTTTCTCTCCTTTCTCTCCCTCTCCTTCTTCCAGCTTTCGCGTTCCCTCCTCCTCTGTTCCTTCCACCACACCACCGCCTCCCACTCCCTCACTCCTCTCCTCACCCCTCCCTCTCTCCCCTTCCACCAGCATGCCCCGAGCCACCAGACTCACCAGCACAATCATGCCCCCTCCCAGGGCAGTAGAAAACCCGGGAACCTCGCCACGGGCAGCGAAAGAAAAAAGCGCCCCCCAGAGTGGAATAGTCGTGTAGACCAGCATGGCAACAGACGCAGGGACCTTGCGTAGACCACATAGCTCCAACCATGCACAGAGGCCGGAACCCACAGCACCGCCGTATATCAGGGGAAGCCATGGTAGCCGCTGCAGCTGCTCCAAAAGCTCTGCCACTCCCTCTGCTGCTGCTTCCGTGCTAAACCCTCCAACAACAGCAGCAGAAACGGCAGGATCTGCAGCAGCAGCAGCAGCACCGGCAGCACCAGCAGCGGCGGCAGCAGCAACCGCGGCAGCAGCGGAAGCAGCAGGAGCGAGATCATGGGCGTGCAAACCTCCTCCTCCTCCTCCTCCTCCTCCTCCTCCTCCTCCTCCTCCTCCTCCTCCTCCTCCTCCTCCTCCTCCTCCTCCTCCTCCTCCTCCTCCTCCTCCTCCTCCTCCTCCTCCTCCTCCTCCTCCTCCTCCTCCTCCTCCTCCTCCTCCTCCTCCTCCTCCTCCTCCTCCTCCTCCTCCTCCTCCTCCTCCTCCTCCTCCTCCTCCTCCTCCTCCTCCTCCTCCTCCTCCTCCTCCTCCTCCTCCTCCTCCTCCTCCTCCTCCTCCTCCTCCTCCTCCTCCTCCTCCTCCTCCTCCTCCTCCTGAAGCCACGTGCACTGCCTCCCAAGCCACTCCCAGCAGCGCCAGCGACCCTGCTTGAACAGCCGAGAGGCGCAGCGGGTCAAAGCGGGCAGTCAAGGCTTCAGATCGGAAGATCTGCAACCCGGCTATGAGAGAACTCGCCATGGTTGCCACGTCGATGGAGGGGAGCGAGGGGAGCGCGGGGAGGGATGGGAAGGGGATAAGCCCCCCGGCGACTGCTGAGGAGACAGAAGAGAGGGAGGACGAGACGGAGGAGGAGGCGGCGGAGGCGGGGAGGGCTGGAAAGGGAGAAGCGGCGGATGCAAGGGTCTGCTCGTTGAGAACACCCATGGCGACGAGAGCAGCGAGCACGGCGAGGAGAGCGGAGCGCGGGAGGGAGCGGCCGGTGCAGAGATGCATGAGCGGCAGAAAGAGGATCTGCGCGTGAGGAGAGGCGGGTGGGCGTGGGTGCAGAGGGCAGAGAGCAGAGGGCAGAGGAAGGAGAGGAGACAGAGTAAGGCAAAGATTGTCACACGGAGCGGAACGAGCAGAAGAAGCGGCTGGAGGATACATGAGAGGCAAGGACGAAGCGAGGCTTTGGGACGCGCCAAAGGAGCAACAAGGTAGAGCTTTGAGTCGAATTTGCGGTGAAGTCGTATATAAAGACTTACCGAGAAGCTGTAGAGCATGACAGCACTGGCACTGCTGCTGTCCGAGCTCGCGTGTGCCAGCAGCACAGAGCTGAGGAAACTCCACCCGGCCAGTTCCGCCCCTCCCCAGATCAACCCGTCTTTCCACCATCCCTCCTCGCCTGCCTCTTTCTCCTCCTCTCCCGCCTGGCTCTCCTTCTGCTTCGCCTCTTTGTTCCCCAGTTGAGTAGAGGCAAGGATGGGAGCAAACGCCACCGCTGCAGCAAGGTCAAGGAGAGGAGAGGGAGGGTAAGAAAGAGGTAAGCTATGAAGCAGCCGCAGGAGGGGGAAGAGCTGAAGGGGAAATAACAAAAAAAAGGTAAACAAACGAAATCAATGCGAGAATAAGAAAAAGAAGAAAAGAAAGAAATAAATAAAAAAACCGGAAAAATCACAAGCCGCTCACATCACACGCGTCTCACCAGCAGCAATGAAGCGCACAGCAGCAGTGAGAGACGCGGGCATGTCCTGTGCCTGGCTGTCCGCCATCTTAGACGCCACACTGCACGTCCCGTACAGCGCTGCTAACACGTTCAGCAGCACCACCCCCCCCATCACCGCCGCTCCTGCTCCTGCTCCTCCTGCTCCTGCTGCTGCTCCAGGGACCGACACAGCTGCAGACTCAGCCGAGACTGCTCCCCGGATGCTGTCACTGCTGGTGCCGATGCTGCCACTCCTGCTGCTGTTGCTACTGCCGCTCTTCCCGTCCACCACCGCCCCTTGTGTCCGCTGCGTCTCCTCCAAGCCCGGCCCTAACCCCCGTGCAGCTTCTGCTGAACGGTGGGCAGGCCGAGCGCGCAGCAGCAGCGCAGACACGTCCAGGGGGAACGGCGCGGGGAACTCTGGGATGCGCTCCGCGCCCATCTCCGCGCGCATGCTCCGGTGCAGCGCCTTAAAGCGCGCCTTCCACTCGATGAACAGCGCGCTGCCCGTGCTGCTCTCGGTGTTCCCCATGCTGCCTTGCTGCAGCGTTTCCGCATGCAAGTGGGACGACGAGGAGGGGGGCGAAGAGGAGGGCGCTGCTGCGTCAGCTGGCGGGGGAGCATGCACGGTCCAGATGACTCTGCTCGACGCGCGCTCCCCGTAAGGTACACGATCTGTCGCCCCTCGCTGCGCGCTTGGCGCGCTTCTCCAGAACAGCAACTCCCCGAAGCGCTTCTCTAGCGAAGAATTCTCCTCGCTGCCCGATCCACTCTCCTTCGCCTTCGCCTCGTTATCATTCTCCTTCTCGTTCTCCCTTTCCGTCTCGCGCCCTTTCCCCTTCTCCTTCTCTTTCTCCTTCTCCTTCTTCATCCACCCCTCCAAATGCGCCTGTTCCGACTTGGGGTCAAGAACAAACGCGCCTCCTCGTGCACCGGCGGCAGCGACCACGCTGCGCCGCGCCCGGCTAAACGCGCCGCTTCTCCTCCGCCTGCTCTTCCTCCCGCTTGCTCCGCTGCTCACGGCGGCCCCTGCGCTTGCGCTTCCGCGCTCCTCCCGCCAATCTTCCCCCGCGCCAGCTTCGCCGGCGGCCTTCTCGCAGAGCTTGAATCCGTCCGTGGGCGCGCCGCCGTGGCCGCTGCCGCCGCCGCCGCCGCAGATCGAGTTGCTGGCGGCAGAGCATCCCGAGTCCATGCTCGAAACGAACCGCGTCAGCGCGACGGCGAGCGTGACGTTACTAGGCGAGCGAAGGCCTGCAGCGGCGCGGACTAGCCAGCGGCGCGACCGCTTCCGCCCGCGGCTGAAGCCGTTAAACGGCGCGATCGCCGGCACGAGGTGGTGATGACGCGTGCTCTGCACGATCCCGCCTTGGAGAAGCTGAGAATTTGCCGCCCAAGGAGCCGGTGGCGCCGCGGCGGCGCCGTCCAAACTCCGGCGGCCGCCGCCGCCGCCGCTGCTACCGCCGGCGGAGCTGCTGTTGCGCCTGAAGCTGCTGCTGCGGCGGCCTGTGCTTCCGCAGCTGCTGGAGCCTCCGCCGATTCCGGGCTCGCCGCCGTTTCCCTCAGTTGCGCAGCATGTTGCTCTGCGATGACTGGTTCGAGATAGGCGGTACAATCGTGTCTCCTGCTGCTGCGGCTGCGGCTGCCGCTGGTAATCATTACAATCTTCCAAAGTTTGCCGTCTGGGAATTGCTATGATTGACGAGAGCCCACCGAAAGAGGCCCCGGAAACCCCGGCCGAAATCACGGAGGACCAGCTGACATGGCGGGGCAGCGACTCGCTGGATTGGTGGTAGTACCGCGGAACGGGAAGCGCGATCGTCGGCGGCTTTGCGCGAACTCGCCATCCGCCTGATCCGCCGGACGCGGCGAGGGAGGCCGCGAATTTACTCCGTCTCCCAACGCCTGACGTTCTGCTAGAAGTAGTCGTAGCCGTAGTAGGCACGGGATGTTTCTGTGACGCCGCGTTACCTCGTGGACCCGAGCCGATCGCACCGCCGACGGGTGCACGGACGGCCTCTTGAGACCATTGAGACATAGTGGAGGCCGTGGTGACGGATCGCCGCGTGCTTTGCGGCGTCGAGTGCGGTGAGAGATTATGGGGTGAGATGCGGCACGAGGTGGGGACACGGATGGGAACGCCGACGGCGGCTGAACGCGTTGCGGCGGAGATGACGTGGGAATTCGGCCGCGGGTCGAACCCTCTGAATCGGGTACTACTAATAGTAGTTAATCCGGCGGCGGCACTGGATGATTGGTTGCGGGCGAAGTGAACTGGAGGATGATTGGCGGAGGCCGCTGGAGGAAGGCGGAGGTGCATGGGACGGATGAGCGGAAAGAGCGGACTCCGCTCGGAAAGGCGGGAATCTGCCGAGGGGACCTTGGACACGAGAGATCGTACTACCACTCAGAGACCACTCGTTCGAAACGATATGGGAGGCGAAAATCGGGAGGTTTCGTGATCGAGATTATGATTAATGGCGTTGGGTCCGTCGCGTACACTTTATGCTACAATAGCTCGATTGGTGAAACACGAGTGGAAGGCTGTTACTTTGGCGTATACCGTGCTAGAAGATATACACAGAACTTCGAAAAGCCACGGCTTTGTAGTGAGGGTGTTCTCGCGAGAGATCCACTTGAAGGTGACAGACGGACAGGCAGGGTGTTGTTGAGGCGACTGTGGTGTAGGTTGCGGCGCGTCGCGATGTGCGAATAATAAGATGCTCTTGGGAGGGCCTATGGAAGCATCCCTTACACTGTCGTTATGTTGCGTGTTCGGCAGTGCAAGCGACGCAAATCAGCGTACTCCACCAGACCAGCGGATCCGCCCCCATTTCACGAAATCAACAGCCACAGCGCTTTGGCATTCTCAATGCGCGCTTCGAGTCCCTGTCACATTGGCTGTACGCTGCGCTCCGCGCTTTCCCTCCAAACCAGAAGGACGACTCGGCCGGTGATTCGTACTTTTCTGGGCTGATTGTTGGCCCAACTTGGACCGAAATGTCGCATAGAGCCATCGTTATCTGTCCTTATTGGTTCACGAAAGTGAGTGTGGTGTCTGATGTGATGCGATTGGTGGAGAGGGCTTGCATCAAAAGTCCAGCCTCTGCGGGTGTCGTGGAAGCTGCGAATTTTACTATTTTCTTTTGCTTCACGTTCCGGAACTTATTATGCTATGCACGTAGAATCATTGTTTCCATATGTGCCTTATTTCCCCGGAAATTATGAAGTTTCATCTCTACAGTTATCTGCTTTTTCTGTTTCACTTCAATGGAATGAAGGGCGGACTTGCAAGTGCTGGAAGGCAGGTGCGCATGCTTTGTTTGTTGGGGCAGGTGACGGCGAGGTCGTACAGTGTACAGTGCAATCCCCCTCTTCCTCCCTTGAACGGCCGACCAACAACCATGAGCGTCCCCTTGCGGCCATCAGCTGTGTGTGACAACAAACAAGCGTGGCATGGCAGCCGCCAAGTGCCGCCGCGTCGAATGTTCCAAAGCAGGGCCTTACCCCCATCCCTGGTTTTGTGAGAATCTAGAGGTTCTGGTTCTCCGAAAACTGCACAAACGCCGTCGAATGACTCAGATCCACCGGACAGCTGGCACGGTTGCCAGAACACGCGTGGTCGGCCTTGGTGGTGACCCTGTGATGGTGGCAGCAAAAAGTATGGCGCGCCAAGCAAGCGTAATTATCTCGAGCATTTTCCGCGTCACCATACGTGTGAATGACCTAGCAAAGACTGCCGCGGCCCTCTGATGGCGTGGAAAGTTTGAACCAGAAACGAGGGAAGGACTCACCGTGAATGGCGGGATAGCGGGACATACGAGCCACACGTCCCGTCCCCGAGTGCGCGGTTCAGTGTTGCGCTGGCGCGTGTTTCGTGAACCATTTGCTGACAGACACACCCCTCGCACACTCCGTCTGATGAAAGGCGACGAAGAATTACGTACCACGTAAAAGCTGACACACTAGCAGATAACGCACTGCTACTCTGATTCCAAGTTCCATTTACAGCATAATCTGCGAATTTGAACCACATCATTTTCCAAAGAAAGTGTGATAGACATGCACCATGAGACACGAACTAACTCACTCAAAGCTACATCAAAATTTAGGCTATCTACGTCATGTGCCATACCGTATCTTAACTAGCCTTCACCACATTACAAGAGCTTGTATGAATTTGTATTTCCTTCGTTGTGTTTGCAAGTTTTGGCCATACCGATTAAGCTGTAAGCTTGCCTTCATCATAAGCAACGTATAGCAGGAGGGTATACAAACTCCGGACATAGGTGATAAATGCCCCATGGAGACAACATACTACATTCATAACCACCGTTTTGCAGCCCTCGTGCCGTATAAAAAGGCATAGGTAAACAAACAGAAACGAAAAAAAAAGAGCAGAAACCAAAGAAAACATGTTCACGGTTCCCCCGTAGCGTCATTGCTGGAAGGCCCTGGTCCTTGTGAAGGTGCTGCGGGCTGACCGTTGGGTGGCATGAGCCCCAGCATTGGCCCCAGCTGGGGGTTGGCCTCTATACTCGCTAGAATGTCCTCCACTAACTCTCCACTTGGTAGGCTGGAGGGGGGCAATATGACAAGAAGGGGCGAAATGATATGGAAAAAGGCAAGGTAAGATACAAGAGTGTGAGAGTGGGGCCTGTCGTGCAATTTCCACTCTTTCCTATTGCTGCAACTGTCTCATCCTCATGACTATCCCCATCCCCCTCACCTGCAGTCCTCATCCTCTCCCAATCTTCAACGCGCCTCAAAAGTACACAAGCACACCCCCACAACCACCCCCACCCTCAATCTTTATCCTCATCCTCTCTTCTAGGCAACCACAAAGCAAACCCCGTCATCACCATCACCAACATCATCACCATCACCCAGCACCACCCGCACGCTCACCTGATATTTTCCTCCTCCCCTCTCCCTCGCATGCTCGCAGAGTTGATGCAGTCAGCGATGCGAGCCGGAAGGTCATCATCATTTGCGATATAGTCTCCCACAATCGCCATCACATCTTCTTCGTCTAGCACCAGTGAATGGAACCATTGGTCGAAATCCTCGCCGCCCGGTCCCGCTTCCTCTGATGCTTCCCCTGACGCTTCCCCCGATGCTTCCCCCGACCCTCCTGCCAGCCCCTCGCCATCTCCTGATGCTTCTTCCCCTGAAACCCCCCCTAATCCTGTACTCATGCTGCCGTTTTCCCCACTCTCTTGCTCCCCGTCTCCATCCTCCTCATGTTCCTCCTCCTCATCCCCCTCACCATCACCCTCACACCCCTCCTCTCCCACTCTCTCATCTTCCTTCCCTTCACCTCCCTTCAGAACCTCACTCATCCCCAGATTCCCTCCACTTTTTAGCCTTCCCAAGGGGCTGCCCCCTCTTCCACCCCCTTTGCTACCAGCCATACCCCCCCCCAAATCACTCCCATTTTTCCTCTCATGCGGACTCACTCCACCTTCAAGTTCCACGCCCACTCCCTTCGTTGTCACATCGCCTTGCATCCGTTCCCGTTGCATAACTTCACCACTTGTCTCCTGCCGTCCCTCCATCCCCACTCTTCCGCGCCATTTCTTCGGACTCGTACCGTCAATTCCAAACCCCAGCCCCAGCCCTCTGCCCCCGTGCCCAACTGGGCTCTCAAGCATGGTGGTGAAAGGGGCTTCAGATGAGCTTGGACTGCTCATAACTGCAGTGTACACTGCTAGTCCCCCTACTTTCCCCCCTCTTTCCGCTCCCTCACTCATCACATCACCAGCACCAGCAGCACCAGCAGTACCAGCAACAGCAGCGGCGGCGGCTGCGGCGGCGCTACCAGGTAAAGCACCAAAAGAATCTTCCCCTCCACTGATTCCGGGCACCCTGAAAACTTTCCGTGGGCTGGACGGCACAGGCATCGCTGCCACACACGCAGCCCCGGCTGCTACAGCCGCTACAGCTGCTCCTGCCCCACCTCTTCCCACCCCGTTCCCCACCATCCCACTTGCACTTGCGCCTGCTTTCATCACCCCTATAGCGGCAAGCCCGGATACTTTACCCATCCGCACAGGAGAATTCCCTGCTTGTGCATGGTAAGCTCGAGAGAGGAATTTCAACGGGCTGCTGCTGTTGCTGCTGCCGCCGCTGCAGGTGCTGCTGATGCTAGCGCTGCACCTGGTGCTGGTGCCAATCCGCGCGAGTTTCAGGGGCGGGGAGGTTTTGGCGGGGGAAAGGGGGGAAAGCGCGGAGGACTGGCGCTTCTGAGGCGTGGATTGCTTGCGGGGGGAGGACCGGCGCATGGGTGGGGGGAGAAGGGACGGGGCGAGTTTGGCTTGGTGTGGAGATTGGGGTGGGTTAGGCAGTGGTTTGCCCGACTGGCAGGGGACTAGCGGCGAATAGTTCGGCTGCTTCTGCTGCTGCTGCTGCTGTGGCTGTGATTGTGGCTGTACTTGTGGTGAAGGTGTTGGCGATGGAAGCTGCTGCGCTTGCTGCTGACAAGTCAAACCACTGGGGCCATCAGCACCAGCAGAAGCACCAGCATCACCAGCAGCAGCAGCAGCAGCAACGGCAGTTGCAGCGTTAGCGGCTGCACGGGCAGGGCCAAGGGTATGAACAAGGTGAACAGGCGCACTGATTGGCGCAGCAGACAGCAGGGAAGGCGAGGAAGCAGCAGGATGGGCGCCTGTACCAGGATCAGAGATACCAGCAGCATTCGGAGAGGCAGATACAGGAGTACGAAGAGTAGGACTAGCAGCAGGAGCGCTGGTTGCTGGAGCAGTGGCTGAGGTGGGAGTAGCAGTTTTAGCAGCAGGGGCAGCAGGAGGTAGAGTGCGGCCTGGTGCTGAAGCGCTGTCTCCTGCTGCTGCTGCTGCTGCTGGTGGTGGTGGTGGTGCTGTTGTTGTAGTTATTGTATTTGCGGGTGTTGCTGCCGCCGCCGTGTTAGCATTGCCAGCAAACGACGCGAGCAGGCTTCTGCTAGTGGACGTCTCACCAACAGCAAGCTCAGGGAATACCGAGCAACCTGTGTAGGTTGGCGCAGCGGCGGGAAGCGGCGCAGGGAGGGGCACAGGGACAGGCGCAGGAACAGGAGTAACGGCAACTGTGGCCCCCATTACGGTACCAGCACTGGCGCCAGTTGCCCGGTCCGAAGCGGTAAGAGACATGGGAGGAGTGGTGGAGACAGCAGCAGGGGCTGCATTTAAAGGGGTGGCTGATACAGTGCTTGAAACAGTGGTTGGACCAGCACCAGCCGAAGCAGACGGTGGGGACGCCACAGGCAGAGCGGTAACAGGAGGGGCGGAAGGAGACGAAAGATGGGCGGAGGGGGGAAGAGCAGAAGCAGGAGCAGAAGTAGGCAGCGTGGGGGTATCGGCCACCCGCTGCTGCTGCCCTGCTCCTGCGCTTGGTATAAGCTGGACCGATACTGTGTCTGTTGCAATCACCTGATCCGCGGAAACCTGAGCTGCAACCTGAGCGGGAACAAGAGACGCGGTCGCAGGTGCTTGTGTGGAAGGCAGAGTCGTTTGATGATGTGGCAAGCCAGCGTGGTGCTGACCCTGCTGCGTGTGCTGCTGCTGATGAGTTGTCTCTACCTTACTCACTTTTGTTGCCACGTCACCATGTGAAACAGGAGCCACAGATGCCTCCCCTCCATTGGTCAAACCACCTGTTCCTGCAACAACTGCGGCCACTGAACCGCCGCCCGCCCCTCCCCCCGCTGCATTTCCCCCGATAGTCTGCGCCTTCTTCCCCCTCTTTCCGCCCTGCCCCTGCGCGCTCTTCCCCCCAGCAGCTCCCGCTCCCGCCCCTGGTCCCATCTCCGCGTCTCCTTCCCCGTTTGTAGCGGCCCCTTTTACTTGCCTGCGCCGCCCTGGTTTGGCGGGGACCCGCGCCTGTGGGCCCTTCAAGGGAACTGGCGCCGTTTGCGGTGGGGGAGACGCGGCCGGCCACGTCTGCTGCTGCTGCTGCGGTGGAGCCGGCTCCTGCTGCGGAACGCTTGATGCGGGGAATTGCGGCGGGGAAATCGCTGCTGTTGGGGGAGCGGACGGTGGAGCATACCGGGGGGCGTGTGAGGGCGGGGGGGACGTAAAAGGAGCGAGAAGGGCTTTAGCGGAAGCTAGGGATGAAGGGAGCAAGGAAAAGAAGAGACAGAGTAAAGTTTGAAAGCACCAAAAGCAGCGTAACTGCTTGACGTAACCAAGAACCAAGACGGTCGAATGACATATGGATGAGGGTTCATGGATGGGAGTGATAGAATACACAGCAAAATGCATTTACCTGGACAATCTAGGAAATACTTTAGAGCGAGACTTCTCAATTGGTATGCTGCAATAAAACCCACTTTTAGCAGCACTTATGGGGGTAGAAGAACACTTAGCAGAATGCACGTACCAGGCACGTGAGGCTGTTGTTGCTGGTGCTGGCGACCTGCTGAGAGCTGCTGCTGTTGCTGTGGCTGGTTAATTGCAGACGCCTGCTGCTCTTGTTGCATGTATTGCACACGCTGCTGCTGCTGCTGCTGCTGCTGCTGCGTCTGCGTCTGCGTCTGCTGCTGCTGCTGCTGCTGCTGCTGCTGCTGCTGCTGTTGTTGCTGGTAGTACTGCTGTTGCTGCCCTTGCTGTTGCCCGTTGTGCTGCCTCTGCTGCTCTTGCTGCGTCACCGGCAGCTGCTGCTGCGCGTTCCCGTGCATCCCCGCCGGTTGCGCGTGCCCGGCAGAAACATTCCCCCCAGCGTGTCCCGCGTGTCCCGCGGGTCCGGCGCCGTGAGCAGTGGTAACCGCTGTAACGGCGGCAGCACCCCCGGCAGGGCCCACGCCGTCATTATAAGCCTCCATGGCCATCTGTAGAGACTGAACGAGCCTGTCCGCGTGCCGCCTCTGACTATCCATCGCCGTGCGATCCTCTAAGAGTACTATGTAGTCGCTTAAGATGACTTCTAGGCTCTTCGCTGGTGCGGGCGCCTGTGCAAGATGGGAGTGGGATGGGAAGGTCAGTTAAGAGATTGAGAGCACTTGGAACAGTGAGAATCACAGGATGCCAATCGGAAGAGAAAACGCCGCCGTTGAACGGCGTACAAGAAAACTCCATGAAATTAGACGTAACAAGTTGGCCAGCTTGTATAGGAACCCAGCGCGTGAAACTAGATAGTTGCAGGAAGAAAGAAAGATGCCGCACCGCTTGCATCGGAGCGAGAAGGTTCGATGCTTCCGACTGGAACGCGTCGAGTGTCCGGACGAATTGGCAGTCCTGCAAGTACTGCCGCACGAGGAACGCGACTTCATAGCGCGTAACCACGCTTCTGTCCCCGCGAGTCACGCGCACGACGGGAGCTGCCGACATTGCTAGCTGCGTAAGCTGAAAAGCTAATTAGCGAGGTTCCTACACTGGAAAGGCGTTGCTCGTTAATTGGGAATATGTTATCAGCTGATTGTGGCCCACCATTGAAAAAGGGCTGAGGGTGGAGCCTGGAAGCAGGCACGCTAGCACTTGCCGCGAGGCGTGCTGAAGAAGCTGACGAAACTGTACAATGACGAAGAGAAAGAAGGGTTGGGAAGGAATAGGCAAGCGGACGGTTTACGATGGCGGGAGTTGAGGGTCTGAGGCAGGCAGTGAAGGAGATTGAGTGTCGAGGAAAGGAGAAACTGGTTCCTGATTTAGTGTCGCGCTGACGCTTCTTCTGCTACCACTGCCCCTGCTTTTGGCCACTGCTGTTTTGGTGCTGCTGATGCACCTCGTTCCTGCCTCCACCCAACTTCCTAGTCTGGAGGGGCTTGAGTTTGCGAATTTCGAAATTGAATTTTGAATCGAGAATGCTGCGTCTCCACCAGTCACAGAGCGCCGAAGTCCCCTCGAGATGTGCTGGAGTGTGGTGCCTTCATGCACGACGTCTTGCGACAGAGCGAAATACTTGTAAGCTGCTCGCGACGGGATACCATTTCATGCACAGATGATTCGCATTCATCGGGTTTTGAATTGCCAATTTGGACATCCGAACCACCAGCAGAAATTATTCCGATTCGGAAGGACCCCATAACATCAAGTGTCAACCACTGAGTGGGATATGAATACAGATTAAACTAGTAACTGTCAAGCTTTCACACAATAAAAAGTATTTTTTGCATATCACAAATAACAAAGGACTAAAAAAACCATTCAAAAATACAGATAGCTCATTTATGTAAAAATAAACCCATGAATAGGTGTATGAAATTATTTGACAAGAAATAGTGTAGGTGATGTGTAAGAAAGTTTATCCCTCCCGTTACAAGGCCAGTGACAGTTTCTATCTTTGCTCATCGACTTGACCTGCAAGCATCAGGCGAAAACCCTTCCCCTCAGACTTGCTCTCAGCAGCATTGGCTTGCAATCCTCCTCGATCCCCGTCAAATTTGAAACCCCGATTCTGAAAATCGTAGGAGCTGCATCTTGACTTGTGTGTACGACTTTCGTAGGTCGTCGTCAACCTCAAGTAACCCCTGTGCGAACATCTTTCAAGCCGGTCACTGTCAGAATAACCCCGGCCGTCACCTCGAAGTCTCCTCCTTCACACTGCACGTCAAACGTCCCTCCCAGCCTTTTATCCTATGGACTGGAATGACGAGCCCATTTGTCAGATGCAATTTGTTTGCATTGCAGGCCCTACTGTTCTGACCTTGACTACTTAGGTTAGAACACTATTGTCCGAGTGTACCCCTTTTTACACCTTGCGCGCCATTGCACTCTTGAAATACCAACGGTCAAGGTTAGCTTTACTTGCGGCTGCTGAAGAGACTACAAGCTGTTGTAGTTCCTGGCTGTAAGCCTAACTCACGTAGCTTGTGGATACCTCCTTAGTCGCTCCTGATGTTGGTCCACCCTCCTAAAAACGGTGCCCTGATTTTTTCGAGTTGGTACCGTTTCCTCCGTTCTTCGTAGTGGATTACTTGAAGAATAGCAATTTGACGGCTTCAATAATAACTATAGCTGCGTGCCATAGCCAGGACAGAAACCCGCCATGGATTACCGAATGCGGCTGGGGGATAAACGGCCGCTTGAAGATGGCAACGCGCCGCACCAGCCCGAAAAAAGACAGCGAGTTCCGGCTTTAGCGAGGTAGCGTCACTTGTACCTCGTCCCTCGTATCTTTCTACGAGTCAGTTCGCTGATCAAACTAGCTTGGTACACGAGACGCCTAAAGATGGTTTGAACGCTTGTATGTAAATCTTAGCGCGTGCCTGAAGGCTGAAGGTTAGTATTGCTCCTGTTGAAGCTAGAATCATTGCAGCGCCTGCCTCATACTCCCTGCACCGTCCTTAGCCCAATCCGCACCGGCAACAATGTGGCTTGCTGTTATCAGGTCACTTCCAGATGCAATACCCTTGTTATTTCGGCCTTTTTTTGTTTCTGCTGCCTATGCCTGCTGTGTAGCGTTTGCCTTTTCCTTTTTACCAGTACGCACACGAGCGTCGTACCGTTTCTGCTGAGGTCCTTGTTGGGGCTCTCCTCCTGATTTTTTAGTTTGCGCCGTTCGAATGTCACAGCTGCCCTAATCATTTTATTCCTCCTCTTCTTCCTTGTCCGTTGCTTCCGTATATTCAAATGAACTTGTTTGTGTACTATGTATATATATAAAAAAAAAACCTTCAATTCTTCATCTCTGGTGACCCTCAATTCTTTATCATCGCAGTGTGATTGTAGAGGCAGTCAAGATGGACAGTTTACAGAAGCTCTGCTCCACGCTCGAGCCCTTGTTACGACGCGTGGTACGTGGTTCAAGTCCTAGGTGCTCTGCTATAATCTCCTGCCCGCATTGTCACCGCTGCCGTGATAAACTTCTCTAGTTTTTCCAAATTGATTGATTTATTTCGGTGATTCATTTCCTTTACTGTCGCATCAGACGCTGCATATCTGCATGGCCGCTTACATGCACGTACCTGAACGATCCTCTTCTTCTTCCGTCGTGTGCGCGCGTCTCCTGCTTCTGGCTCCTGCGCGTGTCTCCTGTGTGCTCCCCGTCGTGCGTGTTTTTCTATGGTGTGCTTGTGTGTGCTCGTGTGTGCTCGTGTGTGCTTGTGTGTGGGTTCCCATCGCAATCAGGTGGGGGAGGAGGTGGAGAAAGCGCTCGCGAAGCTTGTGCCTAACAATGTACCGCAGCTGCCTGGAAGGTTCGTTTCCGTTCAAAATCATCTGCGCTTCTCAATCTTAACTCCTCCCGCTTTCTCTTTCCCTTCTCCATTACCCATCCGCCGTTCTTCGCTCCCTTCTCCAATCCCCACCCACCTTCCCCCCTTGTCCCGACCCCCCCTTCCCATCCTCGGACCCCCCTGCGTCCCCCCTCTCGTTTCTGTACGTATTCACTCCGCCTCTCCTCGTTCCGCCTCACTTCCCCCTCATTCCGCCTCACTTCCCCCCTCATTCCGCGCACCTCCCCTTGCCCCCGTCCCCTTGCGCCCCTCCCGGCCGTCCCCCCTCCGCGCGCGCGCAGACCCGACCCCAAGCGGCTGCCCGCGCCGGAGAGCTCGCGCAAGCTGCGCCTAGCGTTCCGCAGCAAGCTGGCGCTGCCGCTGTACACGGGCGCGCGCGTGGAGGGGGAGGGCGGGCAGGCGGTGCACGTGGTGCTGCAACACGCGGACACGGGGCAGACGGCCATGGACCTTGCGGATTCGAACGGGAAGCTGGAGGTGGTGGTGTTGGAAGGGGATTTCAATAAGCCTATTGACGACGACTGGACACAGGTGAGGGGAGGTTTGAGACATGTTGAAACGGGGAGCTAGAGGTGGTGGTGTTGGAAGGGGACTTCAACAAGCCTATTGACGACGACTGGACGCAGGTGAGTGAGTCGAGGTTTGCGACGTTTGAGACGTCTTGAAACGGGAAGCTAGAGGCGGTTGTGCGGGTAGGGCATTTTGACAACAGCAGCCGGATCCGCTCCCAGCCGTCTCCTCCTTGCAATGCGGCTCAAAAACACTCTCTTCTTGCACCCGTCATCCCCCATTTTAGGCCCCCCCCCCCTGCACCTTTCCCCCTGTTCCTTTCCCCCCTCCTCCCTTCATACCACCTCTGGACCTCTCCGCCTGTTCACCCCCCTCCCCAACCCCCCCCCTCGGTCTCCCTTCCCAGTAGAAGTTTGATCAAAACGTGGTGAAGGAACGCGAAGGCAAGCGGCCGCTGCTGACGGGCATCTCCTTGCGAGGAGGCTCAGAAACACTTTCCTCTTGCGACCCTCATCCCACTTCTCTGGACCGTACCCTCCTGCACCTCTCCCACTGTTCCCCACCCCCCCTTCTCTCCTCCCCCCCCCTCCACCCCCCCTTCCCGCCCCGACCCTCCCCCTTTTTCCTCTCCCCAACCCCCGCAGGAGGAGTTTGAGCAGAACGTGGTGAAGGAGCGCGAGGGCAAGCGGCCGCTGCTGACGGGCGAGGTGACGTTCAACCTCAAGGACGGCGTGGGCACGCTGGGCGACCTGTGCTTCACGGACAACAGCAGCTGGATCCGCTCGCGCAAGTTCCGTCTGGGTGTTAGGGTGGCGCCGGGCCAGGAGCAGGAGGGAGCGGGCGTGCGCGTGCGGGAGGCCAAGACGGAGGCGTTCACTGTGAAGGACCACCGGGGGGAACGTGAGTGGCGCAGGGCTGGCGCTATGGCCGCAGGGGAGGGGGGGAACGGGTGAAATGGGGAGGGGGGAAGGGTGTTGGGGGGATGGGACAGGAAGTGCAGTGGTGGCGAGGAGAGGAGAGTTGGAGGGAGAAGGAGTTGGGGGCGATGAGGAGAGGTTGAAGGAGGAGTGAAATAGACTTACCTGGTCCAGTGACACGTCTGTTCTGTTCTATAGATCATCTTCCTACTCTTTCTGCTCCTCTCACTC